TATTTTTAAAAACATGCTTCTACGTAAGTTATTCCAATTATCTAATACATATTGTGATAAAATTATATTACACAGGCTGAGAGCAATAATTAAAAGAAGCGATAACAAAATAGTCGAATCTGGCTGATAATGATATTATTATAGAGGAGTTCAATGAAAATGTGCTTACTTTACCATATCATTGTAGAAGAAGCAAGTTAATATTTTTCTGCATTTGCTTAAGTTAAAGAATGTCTGAGATTTGAAAATTGCATTTTTAACATTTTGAGAGCAGTTAAAAATTGTCTTTTGGAAAAATAAGTTGTTGCCTCAAGTAATAATATATCAAAATTTCATCTTTCTATATTTAAGGATGTAAAAGTTTTGTAAACCGTAATGTATGTTACTGTTATGTAATGCATGTTACTGTTATGTTTTTATTGTAAAAACTACAACACTATTTCTCGTTAAATTCATATTGCACAAATTCAAATTGCATATTTAAACAATGCAAAACTATAACATACATCCTCGTATTTTCTAAAAATTGAAAATTTCGAAACATCTAAATATTGATAAAATGCAAATTCGACGAATTATTTTTTTTTATTAATTTTTACAATATTAAGTATGGACGGGTTGATCCATAATATTCCACAAAATTTATATTGTTTTAAAAAAAGGATATGAAGATTTTATTATGCAATCATAATATAAATGCCAAATTAAAACACAGAAACCATAAATAAATGGTTTTGAATAGCAATAATAGTTGAAATCAACATACATGCCAACCTGTCTAATTAAAGTTTGAATTGACTTTTCAAGAATGTCATTTACAAAAAATATTCTATAATATAAAATAAATTAATGGATCATTACTAAAATGTTTATAAAGAATATATACGCACGTGTCAATACTTCTATACCTATATATTTTATATATGACTACTAGGAACATATGTAAAAGGAAGCAACAGGATAACAGTAAACATTTGTAAAAAATAAATTGAAAGAAGAATACATTTAACATTCAAATTTCTTAATTTTTTTAATTTATTAGAATTTATCACGTAATCTAATAAATTAATAGGAGGTGATATTAAAGCATGTACAATAATAGACTAAAATATTATAATAAAAGAACAATTTTACATAACAAGTACACTGTATAGAAGGTAACTTTAGTTTGAATTGGATCAATAGGTACATGCAAATTATAATAATTTAGGAATGTATGAATGAACGCAGGTTTTCTTCTATACCAATTTTACATCTTTTGTTTAAAAGCAAAAAGTAATCAATATTATATTAAAAAAAAAGTATTTTCATGTTATTTATTAAAATAAAATGACTAAAACGAAAACATATTTTGCATATTGTCGTCTTTTTTTTTCAGTTTTTGTTATTATTTCTTTTTTTTTCATTCTAAATAAAATTACGACGTTGATTTAAATTTAAAGTCTTAATAATTTCTGCAATTTAATTCTACTTTCTTTATTTTGTTTTATGACTTTTTCAATCTTTAACGAAAAAAGCGATATATTAAAGTGATGTCTCAGCCTGACATCAAATTACCTTCTATTTAGAATAATGTTTTCATGAACATAAAAATACATATATTATATATATATATGTATGCATGTATAGAGGTACATTATATGTACATGAAATATTTCTTGTTAATATTCGTTAGTACTACTTTCAGCTTTTTTATGCTCTACAATATATACCAAATATTATAGCTACCTACATACATTTGTATATGTACATATTAAAAAATAAACATTATTAAAAATTCACGCAACAATGAATTTAATATGAGTTTTACTTAAACTTTAAAATCTAAAAATTCTCATAAATTGTTTTGGATTTTCTTTTTGTAGGGTAAACTATTCACACAATATTTACGATGTAAAATTCAATAAATTAAATTAATTTAAGATAAATATCAATGTTAAAAGTTTACCTTATTTACCTATTTTAATTCATGCAATATTGAAATTAAAATTCTATAAATTTGTTAATTAAGGAATATTGAATAAGTAGTAGTTAAAGAAGGTAGAACATTTTTTTTCTAAATAAAATTTTTCATTGAATGGTTTAAATGTTTATTTACTTGCAGTTTTTACATCTTGAATTTTTTATTAACTAAATTAATTATTTCTTTCTCAAAATTTACCAATGGTTTTTAAAGTAGCACTTTTCTTTTCAACTAGTAAGAATGCTACTTCTAAAAGCAATCTAGGCTATTAAATTATTTGAATTTCTTTCATTCACAATTATTTGAATTTCCTTCATTTCAAAAATTGCATAATGCTAATAAATGAAAGAGATGTTAACATAATGCTTGAATTTAGCGTTTAATTGAGTGAGTTAAGGAATATAATTATATTTTTTCATGGCACGAAATTCACCGTTAGTTTTTTACAATCATAGAAATTTGGAAAAGTTTGCAGTTTCTGAAATAAAAAGTGCCAAAAATTCAAATTTTACAAATTTAGTGAAACGATAATTTGTTAGGGGGTTCAGATTGAAAAAAATTTCTTCTAACGAAATAAATTACTAATCTAAAAGCTGCTTAAATTTTAAGCTTCTACAACCTGCCGTCTAGAGCAAAAATAATATCAAAAGTTTGGAAAAAACGGATTTTAGATAACGGTAAATTTTAGCAGCCGTTTTGTTTTTTTTGGAGATCAACTATGGCATGCCGTGGTAGAAGAAGGCAACCACTACTTTTTTGTGTTTGCAAAATTTGAAAAATGCTTGTGGTTTCGTTACAATAATAAATGGTTAAAAAATGGCATTTTTTGGTTTTGTGAGGCTAAATCTTCGAAATTATTATTCCACTTTTGTTTCAAGTTCTTGACACTACAAGCTACAAACTACAAATAAAAACAATTAAAATCATTTATTAAAAACGTCATTATAAAATAAGTTAGTTGATGTTTGGTAAGTAATTCTTCTGCCAGATTAATTATATAATAAAAATGCGCTATTAAATTTCAATGTTTTGAAAAGTATAAAATTTGAACTTATAAATTTTACTTCATTACGGTATATACAATATGTATAAGTGCATATTTGTATGGATTCACAAAAACAAAATGATATGAAAATCCCTATATGAGCTTAAATTAAAATTGAATGTATAATTATAATTAATGCATGCCGTTGTCAGTCTAAAAATCTTTCTCGTTCATCGGAAACTTTGCAGTCGAGATGTATAATTTTGAGCAAAATTAATTTGTTTCAAATCGTAAGATTGAAAAGATTTATATAATAAATTGCGAAAATAATTTTACAGGACTACGGCAAGAGTGAATCGTTTTATCAGAAAACAAATTTCTTCGAAAATATATTATGCCAATTTTTGTTTATCAATCATAAGTTCAACCTAGCATATTTTTATTTATTGGTAACTAAATAAAATTGAGTAAACTTAATGACACGAGATAAAATGAGAATGAGAATCAAACATTTACTTCTGAATAAAAGACAAAATAATCTTAATTTTACGAGTACCTCTACATAAATATTCAATTTATTATTGAACTTGCAAAAACATTTGTTTAACAACATTACAAATAATTCATGAAAACAAGAAGTTAACCCCGAACCCGTTCGAAATTTCTCACAATTTCATGGTAGAAACTGCATTTTAACAAAATTATGGATAACAAAATTTTATTGAGAATACCATTAATAACTACAAAAAAAATAAATACTAGCGCATGTCAGTTTAATAATTGCATAAATAAATAATAAGAAAAATGAAAATGATAATATACACTTAAAAATAACAATTTGTTATTACATACATTTCTTGTTATCCAAATTTAGGTCAATCCATAAACAAATACTTGAAATTCGAATTCATATACCAAAATTTTGGTTAGGTTTTTTCACATATTTCTTCATCCATTTCATTACGTATTTTTAATAAGATTTTATCAAATTAAAGAAATTGAACTTTTCTACGAATACATATATACATACATGAAAATATTCAGATAAAAATTGAGGTTTAAGATGCATCATAATAATTATAATTTCAAATTTGCAGTGTAATAATTTCTTATGACTAAAATTATATTACACAATCTTTGTTTTGGTGTAAATTTAGTCTAAGTTTAGTGTTTATAACCACCCTGTATTTTAAATTAGTAATATAATTTTATGACCTCAACATTTTCTCATAATACTTTTGACTACTATTACAAATATAATTTAATTTATATGCCATGTAATCTTTACTCATTATTTTATTATCTCTTATTAATAGTCAAGCAGTAAAAAAATGAAGATTGGTCGATAATGTTAATGTGCCATATCGCTGAAAAATGTCCGAAATTTTTAAAAGTTTTGTTCGATATTTCAATTGTTAAGGCATCAAACATTTGAGTTAAGATAAAGTTATCGATTAAGAGTCGAGAATTCAATTTTTGAATTCACTTATACTTCATAATTATTATTATACATTGTACCAAATAAACTGCTTTATCAACTAACATCATTTCCTTCAATAATTAAAAACATATAAATACTAAATCAAATCTTGTATATGTCAAATATATATACTTATATATACATATATTTTTTACAACATATACCATGCACAATTACTAGAATTTGTTAAATAAATTCATTAAATAAATATTTAAAGAAAATTTGTAGCTAAAAATTCTGAATTCAATTTTTGGATACTGCATTTTATTCTAAAACTCACTACTAATAATTCTTAATTTCCTTTAATATCATCTAACTATGAAATATTATTGGAGAAACTAAAAAGTTTGGACAGGAAAGAATAAAACTATAAAATGCGCTAATTTTTTTCTTGTTCTGAAGAACATAATTTAAAAAATAAAAACTAAGATAGCCCGTACTGAAATCATACAACACATAAATTTCAAATTACAGATGTATAATGGTAAATTCGGTCATGTTTATTAACTTAACTGTGTAAAGCATAAAAACATCATAACTACTTAGTTAGATTTTAAAATAAGTCGAGTTAACTCGATTTTGTGATAACGGAAAATTAAAAATATATTTGCACATATTTTATTAAATTTTTATAATAAAAAGCGAAAGTAAATTTTAAAAGTATAAAAGATAGGAAAAGGTGATATTTAAATTTGAAAATGATATATAAGTATTTGCGAAAAAAGCATGAAAATATTATTTAAAATAATAAATATAATTTTATAAAAGTGTGGGCAAAAATTGATTACTACCTTTTACAGTTGAATTCCAAAATTCTACAGTTATTTAGAATACATTGTATAATAAATTCCAAATTAAAAAAAATTAATTAAAAAGGTTAACAAAGTTTAAATTCAAGAGCTAACTGATGATGTTTTACTCATTCAGGATCATTTTGTCAGGATCATTTAAAAATAAATATTTGTCATGTTTTATTTAAGATAATTCCAAAACATATTTTATAAGTTTTACTTATTTCGTTTTTCGAGTTTACTTATTTGGTATGTTCGAGAAGCGTGAAAGTAAACTATTTTTAGAAAGATGTCCGTCCGTCGGCCTGTTTGTGCACGAGTGCATGCATCTCAAATTCGACTGAACCGGTTTTTGTAAAAACTTGTGTATGAGTTAACTTTGACTATGTCACAGATTGATTCATCTTTTGAGATATCTTTTAAGTCAGGTCGATTTTAATTTTCGGTTATTTTTAGAAAAGAATTCAACAGGGTAAGCTTAAAATTTTATATATAAGCTCCGTTTAAAAGTACAAGTTACCATTAACTATTGGAAATCATAGATGTTAGCAACTGCACTATAGGGCACTAAATTTTCATTTGTGCACATATAAAGAGAAATAAGAAACTGATTTTCTTGAAATTTAATATTTAAATTCAGTGCGTTAAAATAATCAACTCATAAATTTTTTTGAAACTCCACGGTTCGAAAACCGAAAGGGGCCGATTTCACATTTTTAACCATGTCTAAGGAACTAATTGGCAAAAAATTCGAATCCAGAAAATAAATATTAAATTTATTACATTTATGTAAAAATACATATTAATGTTTATACATACATATTACATTTATAACTCAATGGTAAGTCAAAATTAGAGATAACTTTACACGAAACTAATAGAACTGAAGACTTGAAATTTGAACTATTATTCGCCACATTGATTTCATATAGTGAGAGAGTATCAAAAGTATGTAAAACGCTTGACCTAATATTTTTCATAATTTTCACTATCATATCCTACTTCAATTTTATCATAATTCTTTTTTTTTCAATCGAATCATCAATAGGAATTTGGCCTTGTTACGGTTATTTATGTTATGATGCTATGCTTGACTAATTTTTGTATTCAATAAAGTTGGGTTTAACCCATGGTCTGTATTGTAGCACTTTTCCCTTCAACAAATGAAAATACTGCTAAATTATTTTCATTTATAAACGAAACTTTTTCTAGGATTGCATATATTTTGGAAGGACGATTTGCGCAGTCTTTGAAATAAAGCAAAAATTAATATTAAGAGGGGTTAACAAAAGCTCGTTTTTAAAGGTTAATTGCGTGAGTTCAGAAAAATAATTATACTTTTTAATGTCATTGAATTTACCGTGAGCTCCTTGCGTTAATTGAAATTTGAAAAAGCTTGCGGTTTCGGAAATATAAGGCCTCCAAAATTCAAATTTTTTAATGGTTATGGTCCCACTGCAATAAATAGTTAAAAAATGGCATTTTTTGGGTTTTGTGAGTTATAACTCCTTGAGGGGGGAGATAGGTAAAAATTTTCTTCTACGAAAATAAGTTTCTAGTAAATCTCTATGGACATATTAAATTTCAGCTTTCTATCTTCAAGGGTGTAAAAGTTTTGTAAACATGTTCACGAACGGCCAAACGGACGGACAGAGTTAAACTAACAACCACTTTTTTCAAAAATTTTTTGGAAAAGTGCTAAAAAGTACACGTTTCGTAAGCGAAATTTATAGTAAGTTTGTTCTTTACTTATAATAATAAGAGATTGAGACTTTTATTGGACTCATATTAAAATAATATACGTATTTTATACAATAAATAAATTCTATTGATGGTCAAGGTATATGATTTAGTAAAAGGTGCAGTGATAAATTTGTAAAAAGCCCAGAACGATTCACACAAATGGTTGGAAAAGAGAAAAGAATTTGTATGTAATTCACGAATTTTAATAAGTTTAATATCCTTTAATTTTAATTCAGAATCTAAATTTTTTGATCAATGATTTCAATTATACTTCTTAATTTTTTTTCCTTTAAGGTTAAGCGTACACAAGAGAAACTGACAAGTTTGCAAGACAACAAACTCGCCTTTTTTGGAAAATTTTCTTTCAAGTAATTTATTGTTCCGTACGTTAAATACATCATTAATTTGTAAATTTCAGTTACTTTTAGGACCAATTTTTATTACTCGACACATAGTCGTATGTGTAGATATATTTGACTCTATATTAATTTTTCCTTTTGAATGTTTTTAGTTTTCGTTCCCTATGTTCTCCCGTTTGCTTATGATTTGATCCAGGCTTAAAATAAGCAGAATAGATAAAGTTGCAAGCATTTCTTTTAAATTTTTTGTAAAATTAGTTTGTAATATTCTGGCATTGTTATAGTTGTCTTTATGGTATCTAGTATTTACTCATTTGTTGTTTTTAATAATACCGTTTCATCGAACATCAAAACCGCATTTTTATTGTATCATAAAAAATTTATACATATGTAAATTAGCAGATAAATATGTAAATACGTTATATGTAAGTACATATTGCATTTAATAATAATTTAAAGAATTTTCAGGACTAAAATAAATTTAATAAATAAAATATCAAATCAATTCAAGAAAGAAGAAAACGACGACACCGTAATTCTTCATAACTTGTTAGTAAATTGCTGCTTTTGTTTTCAAATTGTAATATTCAATATTTTTTATTTAGTTTATTCTTTTTCAAATATAGCTGATTTTGAAAAAAAATAGAAAACGCATTTAAAATCTGTCGCATTAAAATACAAAAATAATCATTTTTGACAACTCTGTATGTCATCACCTGTTTATCAGTTATAACAATATACGGAATAGAGTGTGTCTACTAATAAAAAAAATTATCGAAATTTTGCATAAAAAACAACAAAAATATATGTACATATCTCTCAAGAAAAATAAATTGCATTCATATAAAACCAGAAAAGACATAGTTGTTCATGTCAACTATCTGATACTCGTACAAAAAATCGATTTTAAATGCCGGAAATAAATGAAATACAGTTTCATACAAGCTCTTGGTTTTTAAAATATGTCTAGTACTATTTTATACATATTTATGTATGTATATGTTAGTTACCATATAAACAAGTACAATCTAAAAGAGTTTTACTGAAAATGATGGCCACACCACCAAATTTATTAATAGTTTCTGAGCTGTGAACAAAAAAAATTATGAGGCTGTATATAAGCTACCACAAGTAGTCGAGAAATTTCAACGACTTTTATCAAACACAACAGCCTTAACAACATATTTGATTGTGAAAATTTTAAAATATGCTCTGAATAATTTCTAAGATATGACCTAAGTATATATATATGATATATGTATATACTTAGGCGATTTTTGCTTTTATCCGAGTTGCACTTAAGCGCGTTCTACTTTTCAAATTTTGTCCACACTACCGAGTATTTCAGAAAGGAAACTTTTATAATTCCCCATATATATTCATATGTGGTACTTTAATAATAAATATTAACTAAAATTTTTTTTAAAAATAAATTATAAATGTAAAATCTTTATAATAATTAAGGTAAATTAGGGAGAATATTATGGTTTTACGTGGATTAAAAAGCGAACTCTAGTTCGTTGACATAAACACAATTTTGGAAATTGAATATGTACATACATATATTTTTTTGCTAAATCAAATGTACATATATATGTAATATTTTTGCACATGGAATTTATTTTTTAAATGTTAGTATATTTTACAAAAAGGCTAAGATCTCGATTTTATTAAAACTTCCATTGAAACTACTTAAAACACCACCCACATTAAATCATATCTACACACTTACCTACATATCTTTACGTGGTTCTTACAAGTTTCCATACTTACATTTACGCTTTTCCTAATTTTCATAGTTTCTCATTTTTTTATTCATTTACTTTTTCTCGTAGAAAAATATGCCCAAAAAAAAGCAATCTGTTGTTGAAGCTATGGATGAAATTGAAAGCCAAGTAAAACTGTTGTGTGATCAAGCAAACAACCAAATGAAAGTCCGGGAATACGAAAAAGCTCTAACCAGATATGACCAGGTGAGAATTTTTCAAACTATTACTTTAAAAGGTACTTTTGATTTTGGTAAATAACTTGGATAAAATTTACATGAATAAAAAATTTCCCTTTTATCAAAGTACGAAATGAATAAAAGCATAAGCAAGACAAGAAAAGCGTTTAAAATTTCCTATTTCTAATATGTAATTTGAATTTATGATTTTATTTTTATAATGAATATATAATGTACATACATACATACATGTAAGTATTTAGATTTCGTTTTGAGCCTGCATCTACATACATACATACGTAATACATATATAAAGTTTAATCAATAGAATTCGAAAAGCGCGTTTACCTGACTACCAATTAAAAAAAATATATTATTGAGGTGTAAAATTAATATTTAATCACACTTTTTAATCAAAATATAAAAATTATTATTTGGAATTAAAAAATGTCCAAAAAAGCAACCGATATACTTGGACCTGCAAAAGAGGATGAACTTTTCCAATCTTTTGTTAGGGTTGAGCTTAAGGAAGAAGAAGAAGAACAAGAAAAAAAAAAGAAAGCTGAAACCCGTTTCTCAAAATTAGCGGCTCCCAAGGTTGATGGTGAAACCAGTCCTCGGAAAAAAACAACCACAATTGTGGAAGCAGAAAAACCCAGAAGAGGGCGTAAAGCTAAAATTGATTCTGAAGCACTTAAAAAGCGACGACCTAAAGATAGCTTTAATGAAGTATATACTGACAAAGATAGAGCCGCTGCTGTTAGTGCTGGAAGTTTTGATATAAAACAAAGTTTAAAACTAAAACAGAAACAAGATCGTCATAGTGCTATGCTTATACCAGAAGAAGCTGATCCAAGTAGTTTGATTGCCTTGGGATTAAAAGAAATTAAAAGTGGAAATACAAAAAATGCTATACTTTCTTTTGGGAAGGTAAGGATTTTCTAGAGAAGTTCGTCAAACACCAAATAGCTATTTAATATAAATTTTAAAAGTAATTAGAAAATTTCGCCGGCTATAAATTTGCTCGAAACTTTAAAACCAGTTGACTTAATTTGTGTATGGAGAGAACAAAACTGCAAATGACATTAGAGATAATTGCAGAAGACACAAAACATGAAATATACATGTCTAGAAGAAAGTCAACAAACTTTACAATTACCTATTTTATATGTACATATGTACATACATATATTATTAAAAAAACTATTTAACAATGTGTTTTACTTTTTATCATCCAATTCTAGGCTTTGGATTTAAACCCAAATGATGCTAATGCTCTGGTAGCTAGAAGCAAATGTTACCTTCTCCTTGGTGAACCAGCTAAAGCACTAGAAGACGCTGAAACTGCACTCAGTGTAGACAAAACCAACATTCGAGCTATTTATCAAAAAGCTGAGGTATAAAACATTAAATAAGTATGTAATTTCAGAAAAGTCTCTTATTTCAGCACTAACAATAAAATTAAGTTTGAAAAATGAAATATTACGCCTGTAAATATGCGTGTATGTATATACCTACCCCTTATCTTCAAAACGCCTAAAAACGAAATTTTATATTTTACATAAATACATATGTACATACATGCATAATTAAAAAAATTAAGCATTTTAAATATTTCACATTTGTTTGGAACTTTTGTTCGAAAAGAATTTGTAGAAATTAATTTTTTTGAACTTAATGAAATATGTTATGTACATTTTTATACTTACTTATTGATTAAAAAATTAATAAAATATAAAAACTCATAAAAGACATACATTTTATAGGCACTTTATTATTTGGGACAATTTGAACAAAGTTTAATGTTTTTTCATTGCGGTTTAAGAGCTCGTCCAGAGCTTACAATTTTTCGTTTGGGTGTTCAAAAAACCCAAGAAGCAATTGAAAATACTATCGGTGTTGTTAAGAAAGGTGTGCTAACTAAATCGAAGCAGCAAAAGAAAAATTCAAATTCTACTAAACAAACACCGGTTGAAACACCAAAGTCGACAAAAACTACCGCCCGATCAAAAAAAAATGTTGATCACGAAAAACGTAATGCCAGAAAATTACTAGGAGAGTTATGTGTCGATAAAGAATATTTAGAAAACTTATTAAAGCATCCAGATCTAAAAAGAGCTGATACAAATACAGAAAGTATTTCCACATTTGCTCGGGAGGCTGTTGATTTTTTGAACAAGCGACAGGAATTTTGGCGCCAGCAAAGACCGTGCACAGCTATGGTCAATCACAGAAATACAAATCCGGAAAATATCCCGCCATGGTTCTAAATCAATTCGATTTGTATTGATGACTTCGAAGGGTTCTAAATGGTTCAATACAAATTTTATTTTTGTTTTGTTTCTAAGTAAACGTGTATTCGTACCATGTGATTAATATGCATTCATATAATAAGTATGTATACATATATGTATGTATATTCGCATACAGCTGATTCTCTTTTTACACGATAGAATGGTTCCCGAGAAATTCGTGTAAAAAAATCGTGTAAAAAAATAATAGATTGGTTCTATACCTCAAAAAACAAGTTAAAAATACACTAAATTATATGAAAAAAATTATTGTTGTAATTATTTTAACAATTTATTTTCGTTTTAATTCTTTAAATAAAATAAAATATAATACAATAAATAAAAATTTAAATTTTAAAAAAAAATATGTACATATTATATCAGAAGTTCATTGATAAAAAACTAAACACAAAGAGTACAAAGAGTACAACCATAACAAAAATTTAAACATTAAACAATTTTATTTCTTGTCACTGTCTGCTAATAAACGTATACGTCTGCGAAAAACTGCAAAATCACTGCCATCGCTGAAAACAGTTCAATTGTACATTTTTGTCGTTTAGTAATCATAATTATTCAAACAGTTGCTGTTACTTCTGGATCAATCAGAATACCAGGCTCATTTTAAGTAGAAAAAAATTTTTTTTTGCATTAGTGTTATTTCAAATTAAGTATGTCGTGTAAAAATAGAAATATTTTTTGGTGTTTACTCGGGTTATTTCAAATTCGTGTAAAAACGGAATTAGGTGTATAAATATATAGGTTCACATTAATGTAACTATGCAGTTCAAAATCAACACGATATAGCTGGGAGGATGGAAAACAAGAAAATGTTAAATTCACAAAATGGAAATCTCTCTATTAACTATTATCTCTATTAACTATTATTAAAAAACAGCTTAATAATCAAGTTTAATAATCAAGTAGAAAAATCTAAGATATTACAATTTTAAAAAATTAAACTTCGAGTTAGCTGTTGAAGATTTGTAATATTGCAAAAAGAGATTTTTAAGATTTAAAGTAGGATGTTAAGTGCATATCTGAATTATTGAGTTATGCACTTAAAACATTTGAGCTCAAATTTTTTTCAAAAAGTTCAATTCATATTACGAACACTTATAGGTATTTGGTGTTATTAAAATTATTTCACACAAATGTTTTAAATTTGTTTAAATTAATCAGTTTTGATCTTAAACATCTTTGAAGTAAAACAAAGAATAAAGGTCCGGTATCACTTTTATGTTGCTTTATTTATGAAAAGCATTAAGTACATGCATACATATTATACACATATTTTTACATAATAAGTCCTTTTGCCTCCGAATCTAACGTTATTATTTTTACCAGTCCTTCGATTTTCATCCATTAAGTCACAACTGAATTTTGTTTTTTATCCCTTCAATCAATTCAAGATCCTGATCAATTCAAAATTTCTAATATTAAAAATACATAAACCAAAAAAAAAATATTAATATTAAAAAGTTTGCGAAAACTAGTATTTCAAAAATAGAACTGAATGATCCGGAAACAAATAAAATACGAAGCACTTCTTTTAAATTAATGTGATTTTGAATATTATTTTCAAAATACAAAAAATATATCTACTTACATATTTGTTTTCTGGCAGAAGACGTGACGTAGTACATACATACATTCGGAAAATTATCGAAACACACATATACAAATGTATATATATGTATATATACATTGTCGGTGATTTATAAATTTTTTATAAAAATAAAATTTCAATCAAAAGCATGTACGTACTTATGTCCAATAACTATTCATATTGTACATGAAGTTAACAGAAGATTTCAAATTGGTAAGCCCATTGTCATTCTCTTATTTTCTCCAGATCTCCCAGTGTTAGGTGGGATTTTTATCCCAAACTCAACAAATCTTAATTAACCATATGGTAGCTCGGCACCGAATTAATCGAAATTAAACATTTTCCATGATTGCTTTATTGTTTCTTAATCTAAATAAGTTTGTGGTCATATATATGAACTATTGACTGCAATTTTTAATCCACATTTTTAATATATATTTATTTCATCAAAAGTATCCCAAAAACGAATTTAAAGAAGTGTGTAATACAAATTACTTAACGAATTAATGGTTTTATGCTAAATAAAAAAAAACTTAAATTAATATATTTAATTCAAGAATAATATGTATTGTGTTATTTGTTAAGACAACCCATAACAATTGTTTTGTTTTTTAACCTATAACAAATTAATTTTAACCTGATAAGTTAAGATAATATTAACCCATTTTAAAAATTATTGTGATAATGAAATTGGCAACAAAACTTTTTCAGAAATTTTTTCTTAATATATAGTATTTTTTAAAATATCATTATATATTTTTTACAAATAATTTTTGTTAAAATTTAATTAGATTGAAATGATTAAATAAGTAGTTAATAAAATATAATTTGAATATTAAATATGAAAAATCTACATCGTTATCAAAGGTTTTTTAAAATTTAGAATTTCATATATAATTATTTAACGTTGATATCTTCAGCATAACAAATTACTACTGATTGAAATTCTACAGAAAAATATATTTGTAAAAAATAAGTATAAAAATGCTATAGATTAAGGTAACATAATGTAGTATTTATAATTGAAAATTTTGTTTATAAACCTAAAGACTCATTTAATTCTATGAAAAATGATTAATGAATATAAGGAAAAATATCCCTTTGTATTTCCTATAAAAATATTAACAAATCATTTAAAATAGTTAATAAATTGATCATAATATAAAAACAAATAAAAAAACTAAAACTATGATGTTAAATTAATTCTGTAAAATTAATTCCATTAGTGGGAATATGTCAATTGGAATAAAACTTATAAAAATCATAATCTATCTAATCATCAATTTTCACATTCCATTTATGGCTTGTTTCACATTCGCTGTGGAAACTAACTTTAACGCATTAATAATTTGGTGTAGGTTCTCCTCAGAATATGGTTTTGATAATAAACTAGAAACAACTGGGATCGGTTCGGTTTTTGGAAGAATCAGTTTAATATCAACAATCAAACCCTAAAATTTAAAAAATACATATATGTAATGCAAAAATTAAATTTTATTTTCGTAAAATTTTAGTACCTTATCTACATCAATTTTTAGGATTATTTTATGTTCTTTATCAACCGATTTCATTACAATTTCTTTCTCGACGCTAAATCTAGGTGTTTTACCAATGCGCCAATCCCATGACTCAAAAAGGTTACGAATCTCTGTTATTCCAGGGAACCATTTTTCTGTTGGATTGATTAATTGAAATCCACGTTGATTCATAGCTTGTTCACGACCACCATCATGTAACTCAGTTGCGGATGTTCTTAAGAATTCGTATCCTATTGCTGACAACATTTGTGGTACATTAACAATTTTATTCACATCACATAAATTTTTAATTTTAGAACGAACGGAGGACGTTGCTTTTGAAATATAGTTAACCTAAATAAAAAGAAAGGAATAATGAAAAAAAAGAATGAATTATTATATAGAATTCCATATCAAATAACAAAAGTGAAAGCAGCGAGTATACGTAAGGTATTTCAATTATTTTGAAAATCAAATAAGTTTGTAGTTTTATCTTTATTCTAAAGTTTTTGCTGTAAAAACATCTAACAAAATGAAAACTCAAATTTTGGATACTTCCACTTAATACGAAGACTTAACTAGATCGAAAAAAAACTCATATAATATTCACAGATAAAAAATATGTTTATATTATATTAAAATAAAATTTGGAAAGCTTTTGCAAATGCGAATTCTTGGAAGATGAAGATATAACAAAATGAAGATATGACAAAAGCCAGATTTTGTTTTGTGATTAAAAAAATTTAAATTCGCTTGTAATTTATTTTTACGTATTTGTACTTGCTAATTTTAGACTTCAATATATTACGTCAAAAATTTTCAATTTGCAACATTGAAAAACAATTATGTACATATGTATATGTAAGCTTTGAAAATTGACGTTATTTGATATCGCTTTTGTTTCTATGTTCACTCGTTAAAATAAATTACACATAATGGTCCCACAACCAATCTTCTTTATAACATTATGATTAAAACTTGATAATGTATTTTACATAGATTAACGTGTTGTTTACCTTATCATTATAAAATTAATTAAAATAAATTATACTTGTTTACGGCACATTTAAACTTTAAATTATATAAAATAGAACAATATAGACTGCTTTTAAAAAACCTATACAAATATTTCTATTGAAAAAAAATATTTCCCCTATAATATCAATATTATAATTACAATTATGTAGCCTTTTAATATAACTTGCAAGAGCTGAGTAAAATTAATTTTATACATCTAGTATAAAAATCCTTTTTTATGAACCGCTTAGTATGAGCTAATTAGAAAAAACATGTATTAATTTTATTGAAATATTCCAAAATATTTTAATTACAAATTTATGTCATAAGAGTTTGAATATCTTAAATATCGCATATTATATGTATAAAAAGAATAAGAATATTAAATAAATCTGAAAAACATTGTATAATTTGTTCCTAAATTGTTCATTACAATCACACACATACTTTTAGATTTTTTTAGAACGTTAGCGTTCCTTGAATTAGAATGAAAACAAGACCAGTCAAAAATGCTTACTCAATTGCAGTTCCAGGATCTAACTTTAAATCCGTATAGGTAACTATTTATATAATATTTAATTATAAGGTATAAAATTTACACAATATTAATACGAGTTGATTTATTTTGTATTATTTTAGTCGTACTATTTTTAAATACATATGTATATGTATATGTGCATACATAATGATATGTGCATCTCAACGCAATAAAAATTTTAAAGAGACTAGTATTTATATATGATTATACACAGAAAATTCTGAGTTAAATCATATAGAAAAATTTAGTTTTCTAATGTCTATTTCGTTAAAGTAGTCACGCAGTACCCATAACTTTGAAATGGTTATGATTTTATGATTATGTAGGTACATGCTTAAATATATTAAGCTGTATACATACATAATGTGCACACTATATAAAATATCAAAAGAGAACTCGTCAAAATTTTTATAAAGAGGAAAATATATTAGTCTTTGAAAAAGAATCATTCGAAAACAGCGTGCTAAATTTAAATTTCTTAATTTTTAATATTATGCGAATACTCAGAGCGTACCGAAATTTTCAATTAAAATAAAAAAATTCAATATACAGAAAAATATTCACACGTATCTCGAAAACAAATATACACACACATATACTCATGTTGCTTAAAATAAAATTATAAAAAAAAAATAACTGGCAACTGATAAAATAGGAGGAAAAAATGTGCTGTGTGTATCAAAACAAAGTCGTTAAAGTTTTTTTTTGATAAACACAAATCTTTTGAAGAAAAAAATGAACTTTGAACTTTAGATAAGTATACTTCTGCCCAAATTCAAAATATTTATACTTATTATTACAAAAACAAAAATTGTTTAATTCTAAAATTGGTTTTTAACATATGTAGCTACCTATTTACGTACGTATATATGTATACATAATACATACTTGTAAAACTAGTCCGTAAATTAAACTACAAGATATAATAAATAGTATGTATGTATATATATGAAAATTATTTACCTCATCTTTCATCAGAGATTCATTTAAATGGAGTTTATTGGAATTTACTAAGAGCGTGCAGTGATGATACGCATTAGGTTGCCCCAATTTTGCCGCAGTTCCGGAAATCTATAAGAAAATTTTTTAAAGTAGTATAATGAAAGTTTAGAATTTTGTTCCAAAATAATGTAAATCATATAAATTAAAAAGACTCGATTGTTAATGATACAGAAACCTAAGTCTGTTAAAAAAGAACTAGGTAAAAATCAAATAGGTAATAAATTTTTAAATGTTTCAATTTTATGGGCATTATTGTCCAAATAGGCTCTGTGGTGTCGTTTTCTATTTGTTTTTTATTACCTTTTTGTCGTTTATTACAATGTCGTCTCTTTCATTGATATCGGTTTTAATTCCCCACTCGCGATAAATAGCTCTTGTCATAATTTTTAAATTGTATTTTCTATTGTATCTTTCCCTTGGTGTAAAGAACGTACAATTCAAATTGCCACGATCGTGAAATACTGCTCCCCCACCGCTATTTCTCCGTGCTAAAGGAATACCTTTTTTCATCAGATTCGTAACATTTGCTTCAATAAAAGGATTTTGATGACGGCCTATTACAACACACGGGTCGTTGGTCCATAGCATTAGAACATGATGATGTGAAAAATCAAAATTTTTGTAGAGCCAGTCTTCTAAGGCTAAATTTGTATATACATTATTCGACTGTGATATGAAAACAGATTTCTTTATTTCTGAATCCTCTACTTTTGTAGATTTTTTTTCGTTAAACAATCCAACTGTTGTACATATTTTTCTTGTTTCAAACGTTCTTCTTCTTGGAGACACATATAATAAAGTTATTGAACTCTGACATTTTCCTACATTAAACATCGTACACAGAGAATTTACACCAGGAATAAAGGCTTTCGTATTTTGAAACAACTTTGTTGCCATTTTTAACTTTTTAATGTGTTGATTTTAGGCACTAGATTATTATGATATTGTGATTATACCTAATTGATAATTACACTTCGAATATTCAAAATTTTTTCTTTGTCTTTTAACACTAATTTTAAATTTTCACGGAACAAAGAATTATTTTAGCGAGTTTAATGTCAAGGTACTAATGATTGCTTAAAAAATGTTTACAAAACTTGGGAGAAATTATATATAATTTTAAGTTTAATAGTTATTTTTGTCTATCGCTTTGTTTCGTTCACTTATATTTATTTTATTTATTTTGCAAATATATTTAGTAAATAATATTATATATGTAATTCACAGCTATATTAATTTAGAATTCTTTTGCCAATGTTTTTTTATAAAATAACTAAAACTTCACTAAAAATTCCTTTAGTTCATTTGTGTGTGTTGTTGAAACTGAAACCAAATAATTATGATGGGCAATTGTCTGATGTAACCACTTCCAGGTTTGATGAAGGCCACAGACTCTCAAACGCAGTCCAAGTGAATCTTTACTATAATTCTTGAACATACCTTCTTTCATCCAACACGTTAATTTAAAAGATCAACTTAATCAAAGTTCTACAAAATATTATCCACCAATTATTTTATAATTTGTACCAATTTTTTTTTCAAAATAAATTCGCAAAACTAATTTACTTTTTATAACTTCATAAAGATTATTCGGATGAACAATTAGTTATACACTCGATGAATGACAGCCGTTTACTAAATAAAAAGCTCAATAAAGCTTAATAGGTACTAAATTAAAGTTTTTCTAACCATAAAATCTATTCCAACTATATCATCGTTTTAAAAGCAATTAATTGAATTCTGAAATAAATAAAATGAAAATGACCTTCAGTATAATGATATTACACGTTACAAAATTACATTTTAGTTACAGTGGAAAAAAAAATTGATGTATTTCTTTGCTGCCAAGTACGAACAAAAAATGAGTGTATGCAGAAGGGCTGCCGCTTGTTTTATTCGTGGAGGAGTTTTTTCGAATAAAAAGGAGTACACACTTTGAAAGTCAGGTTAAAGGTCTGTCTGGTATTAGAAAGTTTTTAAAAACTTTATTAAAACTTTATACTTTATAAAACTCTATAAACGGCTGACAGAAACACAGATCCTAATGACCCTAAGAGAAAGTGACAGTTCACAGCTGAAGAATCTACACGTATACATGCGATATCTATGGAGGGCCCTTTTCAACATCATAAATCTTCCACAAGATCAACTTTTTTCAAATTTTTAATTAGAAAAAATTAAAACTCAATCTTTTTCTACTTTGAACATTAAAAAATTGATTTAAAAAAACCTTTGTTCATTTTTTAAAATGTTAATAAATGCTACATGAAAAAAAATAGTGAATACTATATTGATTGAAATGATATGCTTTTTAAAATAAAATAAGCTTTAACTAGCAATTTAGTAACTTTCCACTTTTATGCATCATTATTTCCTACAGCTCTTTTCATTGAGAATTACACTTACAGTTTGTACTGATCCAATTCCTAAATTTCGTCTTTATTGTAATAAAAAAACTCGTTTGATTGCTGCAGAGCTGTGTTGGACATAGAACACTATGCAAAATTTTTTTAATTTAGGAAATGATTTTTCGCCAAACCACTGAAATTCTTGAATTACAAGAATTTTTACCCAAAAAATTACTATGTCCGCTCTAGTATTATTTTTTCATCTAGTATTATTTTTTCACTAGTTTGGTTAACATGGTTCTATTCAATATCAATATTGTAAATAAAATCAAATATTTCTTAAGTTCAATTCAAGAAATTAATACAAAAGTACTTTATTGTTTATATTAGGAAATTTGAAAAGGGAGTACAAAAAATGAAAAAATAGATTAGTAGTACGAAGCACCTTTAAGATAGAAATACTCAAATCGGAGTATAATAGCAGCCATACTATGTAGTATTCGTTCATTGTTTAGCTGTTTGTGTTTTAAGCGATTAATTTGTTATATTTCCAAACGTAGAAGCAAAAACATCAACAATAATGGCTACCGGTCTTAAAATAAACAATTAGGTCACGAGGCATAACATAAGCAAAACTTAGGTTTCACATAAAATTTTGACTCTCGAAAGAGTTGTTACAAGACGATTTACGAATTATCTAATTACTTCTTTTGAGACCTAAGAGAAACTTTTATTAGTTATTGTTTACATTAATAGGAATTTTGATAAATTCTGCAGAAAGTAAAATTGATTTTAGAACTGTTTACCAATCAAAATGTAAATCCAAGTCAACTCGATAAATTTTAGCATATGTAGCTTATTTTGAAGAAACAAAATTATGTTGGAAGTTAAAAAAAAAAAAAAAACAAAAATATAAGTTTTATGTTGCTTCGTTTTATTTTTTAAGTTATTGAAATTTGTAAGGACATTTTTTGTTACTCACTAAAATGCAAAAGAAATGTAAATTCTTAAGAAATAATAGAATTAAGAAAATATTTTTGTTTAACGAAATACTCAGTAAAGTAAAATGTAAACTTGACGTAAAAAGTTTTGCTTTTTTATTGATGCCATATCATAAAGTCTCATAGATGAAGTTCAGACATTGCATTAAAATTTAACAATTTGTTAAGAAAATTATAACCAAAATAAAAATGAACTGATCACTTGCACAATGAGTTATTTGCCGCCATTTTACTTTTGAAAAGTTAATAATACTTTTGAAAAGCAAAAGAGTAATTTCTACTGCTTACTTTTTACATACACGACAAAATCTACGATTTAATTTAAGTCTGATAAAAGATGTGTAAAAACATCAGATGAATCTATCTAGACTAGAGAAAAATCATTTAGACTAGAAGAAAATATCTGCAAATTGTCAAAAATAATAGGTAAACTGTATGCTGAACTAGAAAAACACGAAATAGTTGTACAATCTGTCAAAACATCTTTAAGCAATATAAAATAAATTTTTGTTCCTATCTAATGTGAATGTTACGACAAAAGTTAATATAAAAATATGGTGACTGTTTAGATATTTGAATATCTGCGTGCACTCCCTTTTTTTGTAGATTATAATTATGTATTTAGAATTTTTGAAAGACATAAAAAATGTCAAAAATGGAAATGTGAAAACACTGTACTGGCAGCACTTTCACATGTTATAAAGTTTATTAAAAATTCTATTTCGCAAAAGTTATTTAATATTTTTATTGATCCTTTTGCAATAGTCGCCGTTTAGAAAATAACAATGTCTGCTTACGTTGCTAGAAAGGGTCCAGCTGTATTTTGTAAGTATTAATATTGAAGAAAAAAAAATAGACTTTTTAGAAATTATTGAAAGAATGTTACATAATATCAATCTTAGCTGCTCTTGGTAAATGGGCTTACAATCTGTCTGGATTTAATCAGTATGGTAAGGTTTTAACATTATACACTTTTCTAATTATTTTAGTATATATATAAATATTGTTTAAGGTCTTCACCGAGACGATTGTCTATATGAGGATGAAGATGTGAAAAAGGCTATTAGCCGTTTACCGAGTAAGAATATTTTAGTGGAATATCTGTATAATAAACGTTGAACTTAAATATTTCAATGTGGTAAAAACTTGATTGAGAAATGTCATTTCCAAATATGAATATGATTTTACCTTTTCATTGATTTTTAAATAATTACTATATATATATGTACATTATGTAGGATATATAACATAACTACGAGATTTCTCAATCAAATGTTGACAGAATTTGGAATTCATATATATTCAGTTTATCCTTATGCGACATTTATATAAAGATATATGTATTTATATTTCAGAACACTTATACGATGAAAGAAATTATAGAATAACTAGAGCTCTACATTTGTCAATGACTAAAACTATTTTACCAAAAGAACAATGGACAAAATATGAGGAAGATACTAAATATCTAGAACCTTACCTAAAAGAAGTTATAAGAGAACGAGAGGAACGGGAAGAATGGGAAAAAGATCATTAAAAGTTTTAAAATTCTTATAATAAAAAGTAGAATGTTCTGTTAAATTAAAATAAAAACTTTTATTTTACATTTGTACCTCAGTACCCTGATACATGGAGACAAAAGAACCATTATAAAAATGTATGTTACAGATCTATTTAGCTACAATGGCTCTTTACAATAATTGTTAATGATATTGTTAGCCTTAACTTTACTTGCTCCTTAACTTTACAAAAGACAAAAATACAGCTTTACAAGAAATTGTCGTGTCTGGCTCCAAGTTATGAGTTGCACACATTTTTAAAAATTTCTCTTATATCTTAGATAAAAAAATAATTTGAACACACTGTGAGTCCTTAATTTGACCTCAAGATTTTCAATGGTTTAAAAAATAGAAATTTTCTGTTTTCACCTCCCACATTTTGTTTAGAACTATCGAGATTCAAAGAACAAGTTTCCACCACCACTATTATTAATTATTGAATATAATAATTTGTGTACATACTTTGTCTTCAAATGTTAATGTTCGTTGAGTTCTGTGTTTTGATTATTTCTTGAAATTCCTTATTCTCTACGTTAAATAAAAAAAAAGGCGATAACAAAAATCAAAATCAATGAAGATTTAAAAAAATAAAAAATATATTATACATATTACTTTATTCGAATGAAGGTTTGCTGAGATTCGAAGAAGCTTTTTATTCGTAATTAGTTGCGAGCGCCTTATTAATTTTGAATGGATTACTTTGAACAATTATTTTAAAATGAAATTCTATCTTAGAGTGAAAGTAGCATAAAATTAGTAAAAAATGAAAGCTGTTACATTATTTATTAATACGTTTTACTTATGTAATTAATAATTCCACCTTAAAGTTTTGGATTGGGCAATTGATAGATCTGTAAAAATATTACATTAAAAAAAGGAAATCAAGTTTATAAAAGTGATTTTTTTCTAAGAATTTAACACATGGCAATTTCAAATTACAAAGTATGTATATTAGATAAAGTCACGAATTCATTTTATTTATAGGTATATAAAAATTTGATTAGATGTAAAAATGAAAAAGATGAGCAGAGCTTAAAAAATTAATATTTAATTAATTATTTTGCTACAAAAATTAAATATAAGTTGATAGAACAAAAAGAGTATTAAAAAATTGCATTCAATTAAAAACAAAAAGTTGAAAAGTTCCTAAATATAAAATTTATTCTGTTAAACTAAATATAAATTTGATAACCAATAATTTTTGCAATTTTTTAATATTATTACATATGTAAATTTGATTAACTAAAATATTTTAACCTTAATTTATAAATTTATATAAAACATAATGTACTTATTTTTTATGCATTAAATATTTAAAATTTTAATATAAACAAATATAACATAAAATATAATCTTATTTTGTTTTCATCTTATCCTAAAAATATAAAAAAGGAATATTTTAAAGATCATCATCGCCAATTTCCTCGAAAACTGATTCACGTCCTTTCGTAAAGAAAACAGTTGTTGAAATTTTGTTTTTAATTTTACGTTTCATTGAAAAAGATTCCCCACCTGTAGTTTGCATGTCAATTTCATTCTAAATAATGCAAAACGAAAATTATAAAAAATAATATCTTATATAAAATTTTTTCTTACTAAGCTAGAAATTGTGTCTGAAGAACTAGAATCGGATATTCGATTACTGTCATCTCTTTTAATATATAGAAATGGAATGTAATCATCTGTTTGAATCTAAAACAATGAAATCGTTTAAAGCAAGGCAAAGGTTAGAACAAATATTTTACTTTTATGTTAGTGAAATGATTTCCTTCTTTTTGATTAATTAATTCATCAACCATTCCCTGAAGACATACTGACATCAGCATTGCATTTTCACTATTTATTACTATCCATCTTAAACTATCCTTGTTCATTAAATACTCAAATGATAACTCTAAACTTTGGCTTATGAATTCTTTAGTTGAATTTGATGGTATGTCTTGAGAATCATCAACCTTACAAAAATAATTAAAGTGCTTGTATTGAATGTTTATTACAAATTTATCGCAAAAGATGTATACGTAGAACACATATTCACTTATTCAAATAATTTATTAAAGATTAACTTACATTATGAGTTGTTGTAACACGCCAACATCTCATTCTAGTTACTTTAAATTTAGTCTCTTGAATTTTAAGACCATCTGTTATCCGTATGCTCAGTTCGCTGTTCCCTACAACTATATTTGCACAAGTGTTTGGCTCTGGGTAATCTACACTGGCCTTTGAAAATTGAATGCACCCATAAGACGGTAGTTTTCTTGCAATATCTAAATACTGTGACAAAAATTAAGAAAATTTACAAGAAAACCAAAATAAATTACAAACATTATTTTTGTAAGCTTACCTCTTTTTTATTGCCTCTATCTTGAAGTGATCTTAATTGAGCTTTTATATCAGGTGATACAATAATCCAATCCTTTTCAATATCACTTACAGTTTGTATATAAAGCAAATTTAAGGCAATTTTATCTTGCATTAATTGAATATCATAGCACGGATCCCAGTAGCTAAAATTAATTCAATAATGTGGGAAAAATTAACAAAAAAAGTTTATTTTTTACCATTTTCTTATAACTATTTGGCAATCGGATAGCAGTCTTTGCGATATGTATGGCGACTCAAAATCCATTAATTTTCTCACTAGAGCAATATTATCATCGTTTTCCTTACGCATTAAATATAAAGAGAAATAATGAATCATTTCATTTGGTAAACCGATATTTTGACAGGCTATTTCTAATATTTTGGAAGATGCATCCGTTGTTAAGCAATTTATTTCTATTCTGTATCCGTTCATTAAATACGTTTCCAGTGTCGTTGTCCGTTGTTCAATACCAGCGGATTCTTGTTGAGCATTTAATAGAAACGTAAATAGCATATCGGTTTTTGATATTATTGGATCTTGTCCTAATAATTGAATATAACGTTCCAGAGCATACCTTCTTATTTCTAATTGGCTTTGAGATAGTGGGAGGAGTTTTTTTGGTGGAAATTCTGGTAGTCTTATGCAAATTTTTTTATAGTGTTGTTTCCCGTTTGGCCCTACAGTAGCTGCCGTTGCGTTGGAATCCGCACAGCTCTCATTACCAAATTGTAGTTTGGAATAACTATTACTTAACTTCGTTGGAATAATATGTGCAATTCTTTTTTTCAATTGTTCATTGAAGTTGTGCAATTGTTTATATCTCAAACAGCAATGGAATATTCCATTAATATGAATGTTGTATCCCTAAAAATAGACAAATTTGTATTATTATTTGTACCAAATTTTTCTAATTTGTAAACTATAAACATAAGTCATTTTAGTTTAAAATATGTGTAAAAATATAAATAAGTAATGTAGGTGGTTGGAATTCTTCCAAATGTAAGACTGTAATGAAGTTACACATACAAAACTATGGAAGATTTTTTTAATTAGTTTTTCATTTAAGAGTGTGGTTAAAGTATAGTACAATGTGGATACGAGAATCTTTAGTGCTATAAGATTTAAAAAAACATATTTCGAAAGAATTGTTTCAACGTTCAATTAGGTTAGGAGAAAAAGTGTAAAATGGAGAGTACTTGCGTTAAGCGAAAAAAAAATAACTATGTTAACGAAAATAACATAATAAGCGGGTTATATAAATTTAAAATAAAATATTACAATCATTACCAAAAGGAGTATGTTCTAAATCACAAAAATTAACCTAATTCTTCGTCTTACAATCAAACTTAAATAATAAATGTATATACCTAAATACTTCTCCCAATTTAGTAACAGCATGACTACTAGAAAAAATTTAATTCATTAAGCATTAGAGCAATAGATGAATAATGAATATGATATTGACTATAAAAAATAATTTTACCAAAATTAGTGCATAAAACGTGATTGTATTGAAAAGTCAAATTCTAACCAACAGATAAATATAGATTATAGATACTATTATTATAGCGGAGTTAAAATCTTGAAAACAAGTTATTAAAGATTCAATATAAATTTTAAACACAATTTTTAAGTGGGTTCGTATTAAATCCTGCAGTACCTGTATCTGAAACATAAAATTTAACGAATTTTAAGTACTTAATTTCTGAAAGAAATTTACGACTGTAAGGTTTAAAAAGAATTTTTGAAAGAAAATAACTGAAAGATTTAATAAAGAATATACAATATTGAATTGAGCAGTATTAAATTTAAAATAACCACACATTTTGAGTTTTTAAAAAGACAAATTTATGTCTGCAGGATAGATAAAGTACTTTCTGGTTTTACTATAAAAAATCCTTTAATTTCTAACTGTACCCATTAAAAAATATTCAAGTAGGTTGATAGGTATTCTGTATCCGTTCTGTATTTGATACTTGCTCAAATATGTATGTATATACATAATATGCATAGCATTGTTTATAAACTATAAATTATGTACTAAATTCTTAATTAGGTACCTATATAATTTATATAGTAGTACTCATATGTAGAGGTAGCTAGGTAGATTCATATAAGTGTTTTCAAATTATATTTTCAACTCAAGAAAAAGCTTATATGAACGAGTTCTTGTTGAATGAATATGCACAAGTTTTTGAAATAAAAAATAAATTCAAGTTACTTGATTATGTCATTTTTTCCTTAAACTATTGAAAAATGTATAGCTATACCATTCTTAATATTTTTTACTTTCAAAACTAACTTGTATATTTTTCAGACAAGATTAAAAATTCATTTCACCTTAAAAATTTTTGACTAAAACGTCACTAAATTGGAAATAAATTTGAGGTGGGTGCTTTTACTTCCTATCTTTTTGTTACCATTACTCATTTTAGTTGTAAAAAACCGTGGGCGGCGAATTATTTTACATTTGTTTCTCTAATTTCTTGAAAAACTATAGAAACATTTTGTGTCTTAATTTAAAAAAAAAACCTCAAAATTCATTCTTTTTTTGCAAGCTATAAAAAATTTTAAAATTAAAAAAAAACTTACTGTATAAGAGGTCCCATTGCGTTCATTATAAAAATCTTGAGTATCCGGAATTGAAAAATGCATAATTACAATTTTTTTATTGCAGTAACACAATTTTTAATCAACTGAATTTTAAATCATTTTTACTTTATAACACAAATTTATACTTTCATATATATAATTAAGAATTAAAAAATTTCATTATTAAATTGACTTTTAGCAGAACGGATAGGGGCTTTCAATTAATGATTAAGAAACCTTAATATTTCAGATATTGAGACAAATTCAGCTACTTCATCAAAATGATAACTGGTGCTTTACTTAAAAAAACGCCAAAAATATAATATATGAGAATATTATGTTAATAGCCCCCCTTTTAAAGTACTTTTCTTTCTTAAATTTGTCCTTGTTTAATTGAAAGAAAAACAAACAACCTACTTAAGACTTAAGAGTTTAAAAACAGAATTAAAACCTTTTCTTTTTGTATTTTATTTTTTACTTATCAGAAATTGATTGACATAAAATAAGATTCAGCCAGTAATTGACAATTTATTCCTGCAGACAGCAGAAGTGTTACCATGATTAAAAATCTAAATCATACTTTATGATCATGTTTACACAATAAATGTACGCAGCCTAGAGTGTCATTAAAAAAACTTTTATTTTCAGCCAAAAATAATGGAACAAATAAGTTCCCATTTTTTGATTCACTTTATTGCCAAAAGAAATTTTTTCATCTAAGAATTTTTGTTATGACTGAAAACTTTTCAGTCTTGCATTTTCTTTTCAATATTTCGTGGAAATACAAATTATAATAACAAAAAAAAACTTAAAATTATTATATTAACATCATTAAAAGTAAAATGAATCAAACGTAAAAATGTAATGTATTAGAATATAAATTTTTTATTAATATGTAGCGTATATAAATATTTTATGCTCATAGATTTCCTACAATGATAACTGATTTTAGTGTTTATTTGTCGAAATGTTTTTCCTTTCATTTTAGTTTCATACATTATAGTATTCTTTTAAGGAATACGTTATAGTAGTTACATTTCAAATTTCAGATGAGTTTGTTAATTATACATTTTTTATGGAAATTTCGATTACATTTTGTATTTTTCGTTTTTTAGACGTAAACACTGAACTGTAACAATACGAGAGGTCGAATAAACATTCGGTAGAATTGAGGACTGGCACGTTTATTTATCATAGTAAAGTGTATAACACTTTAAATTTATTTACTATCTACAAATTATCAATTGAATTTGCAATCTACAAATTTTGATGTGTAAACTCCATAAAGTTTTTTTAACATTTTTTTTTTGTTTTTTGGTTAGACATGAGAATTCATTTCTTCACATTTTTTTAAGGTAGTATAATAACGTGAAGAAATTAATTTGTATATAATATCGCAAAGAAATTTATACTAAATGTTAACTCGTAAAAAAGTATTATTACAAATTTTTTTTTGTTACAAACCTTTTATCTCACTCTTGCCATTTTCTTCAAAATTTGATGTATTTAAATAAAAATCTTAAAATTAATTTTTTTTTTGTCAAAATAACGGTTCTTAAATATGTCAACTACTTTTTATATTGATTAATGTGATCGAAAAGTAAAAATAGGTGGTAATTACAGCACTTAATATCAATAATAGTACAATATTTTACAACACTTAATATCAAACCAAAAATAGTGACAATTTTTTGAGTTTCTACGTTCTACAATTCTTATTAATAGTGACAATTCTTTATACAAGTTAAAAAACAATGGCAAATTAATGTGGAAGTGAAAATTTTTAAAAATACTTTCTTGGTATTTTACAAATAACAACACAATTTAATACGAAAATGGCCAATATTTAAACTGTTTAAGTTAACGAGCGATTTAAGGGCGATTTACAAAATCTTACGCTTATTTTGATTTCAAGTTTATTTGACATTTTTGATTTCAACATTTCGTTAGTTTCACATTCTTTTCAAAAGAAAATTGAAGTTTTTATTATAATTTTAAGAATATCAAAATAAATACTATGATCGTCAAAGAAAACCGCTCTGTAGAATCTTTTTTGTTTAACTCTTAATATCTCTTATTTAAATTATGTAATTTGAAAATAAATTTGTAAAATTAAAAGTTCACTCAATTGTTAACAAAATTTATGAAAAAAAAAATAACATTAAAAAATCAATAACAAAACCAAAATTAAACAAATTCAAAAATATAGCCGTTTTTACATGTCAAAAAAAAAAAAACCGCTCAGTTACAAAAAGTGTTTTAATTTTTTGAAAAACAACGTTACTTAATATTTGAGTATGCGTTTCTTTTGCTTTAAAAACTGCGTTTAATCTCCTAGGCATGGATTCAACCAGTGTTTCTGTTAATTCAGAATGTATTTTTTTGCCACTTTTCTAAAATCACTTGCTTCAGCTCTTGCTTGTTACTAATTTCTCCTTTTTTTAATGTTCTTATCTAAATAGTCCCACAAATGCTCAATTAGGTTAAGGTCTGGGGACTGGGGAAGATGATTTAATTATTTGGAGGTCTTATACAGCAACCAATCTTATTGTCAAAGAATAAGACACCCAAATAATCCAAATTCAACTATTCTGTACGTTTCGGGTTTCCATTATATTATTATTAAGTCTGTCTTGAACCAAAACTTGAAAAAACTTCGAAAAGAGGAAACAGCAGGCATAACAATTGAAAAAACTTATAAAATTTTTATAAAATATGTAATAAACATCAAATTTTAAAATATGTATTTATCAAACGTAAACAGTACATATGTTTTTGTTCACAATTTTAAGAATAATACGTTAAAAAAATGAAATATAATTAGTACATTTATTATAAGTAGAATGTAAACAGATTATTCATGTTTTAACATGTCTTAAAATAATTTTTTCGGATACAGAATAAATATTCTTCAGGTTCCTTTATTAAACAGAATGCTAAATACAATATGTTAAGCAACCCTTTATATTATTTATAATATATTTTATTCTTTAAAAATAAAAATTAACTTATGTATATTTGATATCCGCATTCTGTTTTGTTTGTAATTATCCACATATTTTTTTGTTGAAATTTTCAGAACCGAGTGATTGTGTAAGTAAAAGAACAAAAATGTCAAGAGTTGATAAAACAAAAGACACATACGTATGCATTGAAAATATTAAGAAGAATTTGGTCTGCAAACAACACTTTTTTCTGTAAAAGCCACTAAAGTACAGTTATGTAGAAATCTACCAGAATGGCAGCCCTCCTAATCGTAAGAAAAAATATTGTTATATATGTAATTTTCCTTTAATCATCTGTTTGCGATTTCTTTTTTATATATTTTTTTTCTTTTTTTATGTTGCTATATAACAGAACGGCAGGCTAGTTACCTACCTAGTTAACTCTATGACGCTATTAAACTAGGGCATGATATCATGCACATGCATTAGCCCTATGCTCCTCCTAGGAGTGAAGAAAGAAAAAAAATAACAGAAATTAAAATCTAGTGCATATATAAACGAAGCTTAATAGGTGGGTCTGGCAAAAATGGGAAAATTGCAAAATTTTTCATACTTAAAAAGTTTACTCTAGATTGGATGTCTGCTAAATATATGTAAGTGTCCTTGGACATACATATTTTATTCATAAGAATTTTTGTTTATACTAATTGAAAGTTTCCATTAAATCTAACTGAAGAGAGTTATATTTTAAATTAAATTTAAATTAACTACTCTTTTTGCCAAAATACAATTGTAACACATTTATTATTAATTTTAATTACTGGATAGAGTAAATTGGAAATGATTGTACTTTTACGTAAAATCTCTATGTTTCACTTGAACTTGACTCTATTACCTCGTCATTTTCATCCGTCACTTCTTCTATTGATTCTAAAATTCGTAATTGAATTTGTATATTGCATAAGTCCTTGCCCAATGTTTGTAAGTTTTCGATTACCTTTGTTGTTTCTTTTTTATATTTTTTTAAATTACGTTTTAAATTTGTATATTTAATATTAGTTTCCTCTACATTAGCTTTAAGAGTTTCTATTTCATCACGGAGAGATAATTTTTCACACATTAATTTTTCTAAATTTTCTTCTCCTACTTTAAATTCACTCTTTAGTAAATTATTTTGTTCTAAAACAAAATCCAATTCTTTAGCAAAATCTTCAGCAACACAATTTTCAGCAAGATGGTACTCTTTTTCTTGATTAATATTTAAATACAATCTACGCATATCATTGGTTTCAACCACCAGTCTACATTGGGGGCAAGTGTTTGATCTAAAAAATATAAATTACGATTGAATTTCAATATAGTTTATTTTCACATATGTTTATACATATATGCATATGCATCTGTAATACATTTGCAAGTGTGCGAAAATGATGTATATTACTCGTATCTACGCATTTTATAGTATACTATCCAATATCTAAAAGTGAAGTGTGTAAATATTAAGCACTCTATATATAATATTTATACACTTAATATTTCTTGCCGCAATTTAAGACTATGTTAGAATTACATACATTAAGAAATACATTTTATTAATGTTTGTCGTAGTTCTAATATATAGCTTTTGACGCTTATGACTTTTTTAATGTAATGACAATGTAGCTTTAATGGTTTGGTAAAAAGAAGATTAATGGGAAAAAAGTGAGCAAACGTAAAAAAAAATAGAAGAATCTATATGCTTTTTGGAATCTATTAAAAATTATCGAGCTCAAAGTACAAAATTCGATTCAAGCTTACCTCTCTTCCCATTTTGAAAAACATTCGTAATGAAAGACATGCCCACATAGAGTAGCTCCGATATGACAAGTTGTATTGAATTTATCATCACATATTGCACAGCTAATTTCCATAATAAATTTTCAGTTTTTTATTTATTTATTTCGTTGAAATAATAATTCGTATTATTTATTAATTTTAATTGTGGAATATCAATATTTTTAAAAAGTAATTTTATTTAAATTATTTATTTTTAGCAACCTTTTTATCAAGAACAAGTGAATTTTTTTTAAATTTTTTAAGAATTAGCAAAATTGTATTACCTTAAATTCAATATCTTTTGCGGTTAAGTTAAGATAAGGCGAAATCTATTATGACTAATCAAGTGTCCTAAACTAATCAAATGTCCAATTAAGTATGTATATAATCGTATAGTAGGTACGTGTATATGTATATATGTATAATTTATAAATGTTTGTTTATATAAAAATTTAAAAGTAAGAGATAACTGAGTATTCTCGCGATTAGAAATAATTCAATTATGTTAAGAAAATTTTGACATAGTATGTACATAAGTATACGGAACATATGTGTATCAAAATATCCCATTCGAACAATGGGTTCGGGTATCTCCCATACATAATTTCTTAAAAATTTCAAAAACAAAAAGAGATACTAATATTAAATTTCGTAAAAATATGTCAAATTAGATTATACATACACTGTTAATCTTAATTTTAGTGAAATGGTTGCACTGATTCGGTCAGCTGCCATATAACTCCAAATTTTAAATATTTGGAAAAATAATAAAGTTACATTCATGAAAGTTGGCAGTTGTGTATCCAATTAGAGGTCAGATATGTATATTCCTTAAATTTTGGTGGAATGGCTTGACAAGATCGGGTAGGTGCCATTTAGCTCCAGAAGCTAATTTAAAGTAGTCGAAAAAATAATAAATTTTTTTTATCATGAAACTTGGCAGTCGTATGCCCAATTATAGATCACATATGTATATCTCTGAAGTTTTTGTGGAATTGCGTGATAGATTCGGGTAACTCCCATACAACTCGAAAAGCTAATTTTAAATATTCGGAAATATTCGTCCAGTTGTAGGTCAGACATATCCGTGAAGTTTTTATAGAATGGTTTGAAGTGTTCGGGTAATTGCCATACAACAATGAAAGCAAATACTAGATATTTTAAATACAAATTTTTTAACTCAGATTTTCAAAGTGCATGGTAGACTGAAACATTTTTACTTATTTAATTTTCCTTTTTTAATAACGTACAGTTTTATGTATGTTTCAAACCATACTTCAAATTTTATAATATCGAGAAATTCACCTCATTTTCGAAATATATGTATTTCAAATTTTTAAGATTAGCATAAGGTTAATGAATAAAACTTTTCAAACTTTTTAAAATAAAATGTAGAACGAATTGAGGAAATGCATGTAATATGCCAGATATTATGTGGAATGTATCATTAATTAGAATTTAACACAATAAACCCAATTTTCAGTCACGTTATGAAATATTTTGGGTTTTTCCCACAAATTACCGCCTTCGATATTCATTTTTAAAGTATCTTAATAAGCTCTTGATTATAAAACTCCAACGAAAATTTCTTGTTTCCCAATTTTTTGATAGTTTCCTAATATGCCGTAAAAATTACCAAAGAAAATGATTCTTTGGTAAACTCTATGACATATGCCGCTTTCTTGAAACCAAAAGCTGATTAAGATCTTCAAAAAAAGGGCAAGTCGAATCGACCTATAGCGCTAACCTTCCTCATTTTCTGATTTTCAAAGAATTAAGGAACAATGTGCAAACGTACTACAACGTGCAAACGTTTTTGTAGATATCCGATGGAGCTTATGATGTCGAAAAAATGCAGTATTGAAAATTGATCTTTTATGTAGAAACTGTAAGTAAGAATAACTTGGAAAGAAAGTTGTAGCAAAAAGGTTTTGTTCCAGCAAAATAATCATTTCCAATAAGCTATTAAAGTTTCAGACTAATTTGATTTGCATTGCAGTACAGTATAGGACAAAAATTAATTTGCACCACTGAGATCTGATTAACTTGAAAAGTCAATCAGTTTCTGTCATTAAACTATAAAGAAAACCACAAGATCAAATTATTTAAAGTTAAAAAAAATATTCTCAAGATTAAAAAATATAATTATAATACTTAGTTGAGCTCTTTAAACATTACACTTGTCGTAGATGTCACAAATTTTTTTTCTGTTTCCAAATTTATTTACATTATATAAAATAAAGCATTACATTATACATTATATAATAGAATAATAAGTGTTACCGCTTTATTCTTAAAAAACAATTTGAAATTTGCTTTAGATAATAATTATTGGTCTTCAAACATTGTAGAAATAATAAGGATTACATTTTGAGAATCTCTTTATTTAAACCTATAACACTTTCAAAATTGCAATAATTACGATTATTATTAATTATAATAATTAATGATGTAATTTATAAAATTCAACAACAACAACTCGTTAACTGAATTGTGTTTGAATACATTATTGCAATTATGAAGCGAACTTTATTTTTAATATTAGTTCATTTTTACATAAAAATGCTTAGTATTAATTAAATATAATCCCCCAAAATAAATGGGTCTGTCATGTTAGTTTCATAGGAAGGAACTTGAAAATATTTTTTCTGTAGTGTCTTTATTGTTAATTTCATAATATCTTCGACTGATTTCTCTTTGCCTTCATTTTCTAGAAATTTACAAAATTCAGCAGTAAATACTGATCCGCCGTCTTCTGTGGCACATGCTTTAAAACCTTCAGTAGTTGCATAACAGCGTAAAGTGTTTCCGATGATTGGTTCATCAAAAAATGGTTTAGCATCTGTATGAGCTGATAATAAATCGAAACCTCCCTTACAGGCATCGACGATAAATAATTTTGGTTTATTTGCTAATGAACGATTTCTTAATATCGGTAGTATCACATGAGTGTCTAAGTTAATTAATTTACAATCATTAACAACCATCATACCTTGACGATGACCGTGGGTCAAAATTGCAATAGCTAAATATTTATAATCTTGGAAATTCGATTTCGAAACTGAAAGGGAAAATTAGTATTTAGTAAATATATAATAAATATAAAATATATTTTGAAATTAATTGCAAAATTATAAAGAAAACACTAGCTTCGTGTTTTACAATGATACAATTAAAATCACCTTAAAATATCTGTTCTACAGTCATTTAATTTTTGGGCAATCCAAATTTTTCAAAAACTTTATAAGTAAGAATATACTACGAATAATTAATTAATATTATTTTTCTTTCAAAAAATTAGTTATTATGATACTTCGTGGTAGGACGTCGTAAATAAATTATTGATTATTTATGAAAAACGAAGAAACTTATTTCTTAGAGAAACCAAATCCTAAAAAGTTTATCTCAACTATGAACGGAATTAGAATTTTTGGAGTTATGTATCTTAATTAAAAATTTTCTTAGTAAACTTGAAATAAGTGTTTATTGAACATAAAAACAAGTGTATTCGAATTTATGTTATTCAGGAAAAACACAGTTCTGTCAGTTATTGATCAACTCATGTTTTTTTATCTATAACAATACGTGTAAGAACTTATTTTCAAATATTTATGTATGTGTATATGTATGTAAAGAAAAAAATTCTATTATGAAATTCTCCTCTACACTCTATATCAAAAATATTCGTCAATATTTCAGTAATTGTTTAAATTTTTTGACGTTCGTATACGGTTTGGTTGAAAGTAGTATTTAATACAGATAATTCTTGTTATTAAATTGACATTTCGAATTCATTTCAATTATATTTTGCATTTTTTTAAAACCAAAAGCATGAATGTTTAATAAATTATTTATGTTAACCTAAATGGATCTCATATTATAAAAAACTGAATCGGGTCTGTTATTATAATAAACAGATTAATTTTCACTTACTTTTTTCTATTTCTTTCTTTAACTCATCCTTTGTTAAATCTTTATGTACATCTTTTACATCACAATTAAATTTTCTAAATGTACTTTGTAAAGTTTCGACATCTTGTGAGCCCGGTAAATTTGAAAATCTGTTATTTTCAAAATTTTCCATATTAAATATAATTAGTTTTCCTGCTTTTTGTTCAGCCATGCTTTATATTAAGATGTTAAGTTTAATGCTTTGTACTTTTGCAATTTTTTATTCTAACTAATTTAAAGTAATTACTTTAGTTGAGTTTTTATGCTCATATTTTATTATTTTTGTATATTGTATGTAGATATAATATTTAAGATAAGATAACAAGTTTATAATATAAAATAAGGAATCATTGTATAGACAATGGCTAAATCAAATTTATTTTATCGGTTGATTGTAAAAGCCATTCAAGTTTCAATTGAAATAAATTTTATTTTTTAAAAGAAGCAAGAACAGAGAAATGCACTTACGACAAAAGAGTAGAGTTAGACATTAGACAGTTGGAAAATATCAAAGTTTTTAGTTTTGTAAAAGGAAAGTAATGAGCAAAAATAAATCACATAGCTTATTTTTATTTTATTATTCATCATTATTAATTAATGTTGCGAACTCTAGACACATTATGTTTACATTTATATGAACGTAATGCAAAAGCATATTTTACATTAGATCATTTTAATAAAACATCAAAATCATACTTTTGTATGAAGTGATACTAAAATTGAAGTGTTGTTTGAATGCTCAATAATTTAGTAGGTGACCATTTAAGCTTAAAATTTATCGGATGACGTTAATATCTACAACGTAACTTAATAATTTCAGTTGAAAATTATGAAATTAAAGCACAGATAAAAGCAACGAAATTAAGGACTTACCTCTTTCCCTTAAAAAGTATTCAGCAAAGAACGTAACATTAAAAATTCATCTAATATATATGTATGTATTTCAACTTTAAACTCCAAAAACAAAATTAAACGACGAAAAGGCGGTGAAGAATGAGTTTAAAATATTTGTTCATTTAAAGTTCAAAATTTTATGAATCAAAATTTTTTCCAGGCATGATTTCTTTTTTTTTTACGACAATCAATATTTTTTTTTTAAAGAAATAGTTAAAAATATAATTTTAGATTTTGAAAATGCAAAAATTCTAATAAAAATTGAAAAGCGGAAGTAAGAGGTAAAAGAAATAGCTCTGCAACTTAGTAACTGAATGTCTCACAATCGTATTTAGAAAACGTATAACTGGACTTTGTCTTAAATATGAAGAATTTAGATATGAAAAAAAAGTTTGAAAAGTACACATCTCACCTTCACTCTTTGATTTCGTATTGTTCTATAAATTTCTACTATAGCTACATTTTTGGCATATTATTCTCTTTACAAATATAAAGCTCATATTTTAAACATTAAAAAATTGTGTTATTTCTCAAGATATGACCAAAAATCGAAGAAAAAGCCGAAATGAATTTTTGTTTCCAACCCGACATTTCCAAAATATTTGATTAGTAAAACTAGATATTTATTTTTTTGTATTTTTTTTTGTATTTTGACAAAAATGAAATTTTGGTTCGTGGAAAATGTCTAGTTGTAAGCATTAGATTTTTTGAGAAGCTTCTTTGGCTTTTTGGTTTCATATATTATCATACTTGTAAGAACTTATTTATGAAATTGAAAGAAAATCGGATACTTGTTTAATTTAAAATAATTAAGAACATAAAATTTGCCTGTAGCAGAGATTCACTTAGTTAGACCTGACAAACCTCAAAGGTTAAACAATCCGTTGTCACAATAAACCTAGATATGAATTTTCTCAGATAGACTAACAGATAGAAGTTTTTCTAAAATTAATTTACACACGTTTCATTTCCTCCTTAAAACTTAAAAATTATTCCTTATTATATTTCATACATATGTACATTTATACATACATATACATAGACTTAATTCACTCTATTTAATTAACTCAAATTTTAAATATATCAAACAAACTGCCACTATGTAGTGTGATACCAAAAACTAAAATGTTTTCTGGGGCTACATACACCGCAGTTTTACCGAAACGAGTATAAGCTGCGATGCGAGAAAATGTTTAAATAGAAGAAGAAAGTCAAATAAAATTTTCTTATCTTAATGAAAAATAGTATACCATCAATGATAATATGTATATGTTTCATTTTAGGGGTTTTCATAAACGTAACTTATATTGTATAATGTATCTATATGTATATTCGAAAATGCACCTTGATGTTATTCCAGAAATGTAACGTATGAACATTGTGCTTTTATACAAATATCAAAAATACATAGCATATGTACATATATACAAATATATCACGATATTGTCTTACTATATTGCTTTTATAAAACCAATTTTTTCCGTGAATCTTATGAGTGTATGTATAGTTATTCTCCTTAAAAAACGTCTGTTTTTGCATTTAAAGAAAAGTGTCACTCTAATAAAGTTTGTTCCAAATTCTTTATTTTATTTTATTTATTTTATTTACTTAAGAGAAACTCAAATGAGCTTAATCGCTCGTACGGAATTTTATTTTAAAATCTTTTTTCCAATAATGTTAAAAATAAAGCCTAAAATTACTTCAGTGGAATTCAAAAAATTTGATTATTAAAACCAAATATAATTAATATACGAAAAAAGATATAAAAAATTGCAAAATTAAATTTTATAAAAATTAACAAGTATACAATAATTAATTTAAAAACAATTGAGTTTAGTTGTGATCAAATTTTATAAACTTTGTTCATTCTAATATTACAGACGGAATCAAAAAATTTATATCCATGTTTGGATACAATATGTTATTTTCTACCCAAAAAGCTTATTTTGTGGTTTTCTTTAATTTACTAATAATGTTTTGAGTACACTATTTAATGATTATGAATGCATAAAAATAAATCTTGATATTTTTCAATAATATCTATTAATTTTTCTTTTGTGTTTCCCAATTAATTGAGAACGATTAAAATACAATTTTCTGAATTTATTCAAAGAGAATTTTAAATGGTTAATTTTAACCGAACGTATTGCGTATACGGTAGGTTATGTGATGGCAACAAATTTTGCATATCGAGTTTTCGGTGAAAATGCACTTCTCCATAGTAGGTAAACTATTTTTAGCAACCTGTCAGTCTGTGTGTGTACGCGTATATCTGCAGTTCGGCTGTACTGATTTTGATGAAATTTTATATGTAAGTTTATTTCGGCCATGGCACGGATTGATCAACTTTTAAGATATACCAGGCTTTGGGAACTGCACTTTATAGCGGACCTGTTTTACATTTTTGACCATTTTAAAAAAAATATTCAACCGATTTGCTTGTTATTTAATATTTAAATTCCTCGTATTAAAACAATGAACATATAAATTTTTTGGAAAGATCAGCGAATTGATGGAATTTCTTAAAATTTGATATTTGAGTTCTGGTTGTTACCGAAACCTACTTGCGAGCATTTCAGGGAATTCGGGTAACACACAGCGAAATTCTACTCAGAGCCAAATTTATATTTTTCTAGGTATGTTAACTATGTAAGCTAATGTTCTAAAAATGTATGTTAACTAATGTTCTAAAAATTGGAAAGAAATATTTAACAGACATTTTTATAATATTCTGTATTTTCACTTAACTAGACAATACACATTGCGGTCGGTTATGTGCTGATCACATCGGATTTTTTTTTCTTTATTTCTCTTAATATCATAATTCTCTCACCATAATAATTAATGAATTACTATAGAGAGAGAAGTAAATAATTCTACGAATAATTTTATATTTCGTACCTTGAATTGCCTTGATTGCGACGGAAATTGGTTACCTATATATGAAGTTCATTGTTCGTAAATTCGATGTTGGTTAATTGAAAATTTCAAGTAAATATTGTTAAAAAATGTGTTAATAGATTTGATCAAACAAAATAGTTTCGGGTTTCTTTCACAAAATTGAGCAATATACTACAATTGAGGTTATTCGAAACTCGATGGTGGATTGGGGAATACCATAACCTATTCTAAATTTTGTTGGCGTTTTTTTTTTATTCAGGTTCTTATATTTAATGTACAATTTCATAAATTATGTGAATTTTTTAAGAAATAAACCAATTGTTAGCAAATTAACACTTTTCTCTGGAACAAGTGAATATTCTACTAATATATGTTATTATTGAAATTACTTTATTTCATATACATATGTACATACATGCCAAATTATATATTTTAAATTTTTGCATACAGTTGGAATGTGCAAAACAAAAATAAATTAAAGAAGCATTAATTGTCGAGCTTGGTAAACTATATATAAATACAATTTTTGTTGGCATGGCACTTTCCGTTAGTTTATATATTTTATAGAAATTTAAAAAATCTTACAGTATCGTAAACACGTATAAGGAGTGAATATTTCCATGTGACAAATTTCCAAATATAAGAGCTGGGGAAATATTTTCTTTTGAAATGAACTATATTTATTTGCGTCTAAGAGCTGTTAAAATTTCGGGCTCCTACAACTTACCGCCTATAAAAAATTGATTTTATGTTTTTAATACAATAAAGGGCAATAAATTGCATTTTTAAAACTTAGAGTTAGTGTTAGAGTGGGGGAGATAGATACATAAAAATTTTCTTTTAGAGAAATAAGTTTTTGGTATAGAGCTATTTGCGTAGAAGTTTCAACTTTATATATTAAAAGGTGTAGAAATTTTGTAAACAGACAGAGCGAAAAACAAACCGACGGACGGACAGAGTAAAACTAATGCGCACTTTATTTCCAATTTTTTTGAATATATTCATATACATTCATATATGCACGTAAAATAAAGCTTTTTTAAATTTTAAATGAAATTGTGAGTACATCTGTTTTCCAAAGTGTTTTCAGTAAAAATATTTTATTAAATTTTTATTATTTAGTTTTATTGAGATAAGGAACTTTTGTATGATATTTTGTGTGATCTCTAATTCCGGCTTATAATAAAGAAAAACAAATGATTCAATATTTATTTATATTTTGGCGCTTATGTGTTTAGTGTTACTTTGTCGCTCAAGCAGTTAAGTGTGAATTTTTTAGCTGTAGGAACTTGTTTATTTTTTTATAACTCGGTTTCAATTGCCATGTCAAATACTGGAAAATTATTTATATTCAACTTAAAAAAAATCGATGGGAATCCTAATATATCACATGCGGATAATTCTTCCATATTATTAAAAAACAGTGACAATGAAATTAGAATTTTAATAGAAACATTCGAAAAATTTAATGCTGATACTCAAATTGTCGAAGAAACGTCAAAGGACAAAGTAATAGAGAAATTGACAAAAAGTCTGTTAAGTTGATTTTGTTTTATTGAAAATATTAACAATATTAATATTAAAATATAAATTCAAAATTTTTACATTATTTTCAATTATAGTTGAGAAAGCTGATTTCGCTAGATATAAATATGTCGCAGCAGCTGTACTTTTACATCATAAAAATGAAAATATTGCACCCCAATTACTCTATTTTCATAATGAAATCATTTTAGCATTTTTGAAGAATTTTACATTAAAAAATAAGCCGAAGTTATTTTTAATACAAGCCTGTAGAAATAATTTTGATATTTTTGATTCGACACCAATGACCGGAAATCGTGAATACTTTACACCAACTAAAATGATAATCTGCTATGCATCGAGATATAGTAGGTTTTTAAAAAATTATATTCAACCACATGTTTAATTACTGTAAATTACTGTAATATTATTTTTAATATTCTAAGATTTTTCTTAGAAACTTATTTTAATAAATATCGATTAACTATACTGCATATATATATTACGTATGTAGTTGAATTAAAAATATGTACTCGCTTTAATATTTTTATAAAGTGTGACAATTCTAATTTTAATTCACAAAAAGTGTTAATTGTATGAAGCGATATTTTTTTTATTAATTTTAATTTATTGGTAATATTAAAGTTTTAGTATAATTAAAATTTTTAAATTTTTATGATGATGATCTCTTTATGATTTAGAATACTTATTATGTGAAATACATATGTATCTGTTATTAAATTTTATAATTAAAATTTATTTACTTTTTGTAAACGTACACATCAATATACTTTTAATTTTTTAGATTGCTCAAATTATCAGGATGAATATGCAAGTCGTTTCATTGAGAAATTCTGCGAAAATTTGCAAAATGATGGTTTAAATCTTTCTGTTCAAAGAATAATGAAAAATACCATACGAACGATAAAGGAAGAAACTGAGTAAGTAAAGAATAAAATTAAATTTTTATCAAACTAAACCAAAAAATTTCAATCAAACACAATGTTGTTCATAAATGAGCGTGTTTTAGAAACTATTTTATTCCTGTTAACAATTTCTTCTTTTCGTACTTAAAGTTTAAAGGAGGAAAATTAATTAATTGCTCATTATCAATTGATTTACTCCTCATTACATCCCATTTAACAATATAAGTCAAAAACTGATATTTACATTACCTCAGTTTTAAACTCAATAATTTCTGTTCAAACTAATGTTTGTAAAGGTGAACTTTGCCCTTGAACCAGTGAAAATACTTTTTTTGAAACAATCTATTATAGCTGTTAACATTACTTTAATTAATGTAACAAAATATGTCGAATTATGGCATTCATTTATAGAATGAAAAAAAAATAAAAGAAAAATTTTTTTCTAATGAAATCAGAATGAGACGACCAAACAGAATGATATTGAGAAGCTTTTTGGAAAAATCAATTTTGCTAGAAAATGCAAAATGGATTTTTGACTAAAATTTAAAAGTTGTTTTTGAATTACAAACATTTTTAAGCACTTTACAAAAAAACGTATCAAGGCTTTTTGGAGACTCATTTTTCTTTTAATCTAGCTCTGATGAACGTATGTTATGTTGCACAATAAAATGTTATCAGTGTAATCTAACTATATGAATCATATTATATGCACATATACCAAAAATTAATTTACACAGCATGTAATATTATTTTAGTATAACAAGATAAATATTACTATTTTGCACAAATTTATATTCGTATTTTATTTCTTACGCTAATTAAATTCAAATCGTTGCAGCGAAAAACAAATTCCCAGTTATTTGGATCATTTTCACGGTGATTTGATGCTATCAGCATTCACAATTTGATTGTATGACAACTATATTGCAAATTTGCATTATATAAATGTGGTACTTAATGTATTTTTTAATTATGGTTGAAATTCACGCTAGCATTTTTTATAATTATTTTTATTTAGAAAATAAATTTGGAAAATAATTTGTTTTAGGTATTAATTTGTATTTTTAAATTGACTAGTAAAAATTTAGTGAAGGTTGTTTAAAATTTAAATATATTTTCCTTTGTTAAATAAAATAAGATGTATACTTTTTGCAATTGCAATTAGTATTAATGAGAACCGAATAAGTTTTCTTATAGTTTTGGATGACTTAAGTCTATGAACGCCAATATGAACAGTTGCACGCACGTTTCTTAAATAGTGATATCCCCAAGAACTTCCTCTTTTATTCTTAAACTCTTGAAACTAATGTTTTTCCGAAGTGAAAACGAATTCTTAAAAGTGATGCCGCTTTAGTGAAAGCACTATGCAATAAATTCGCCTGTTCAACATGAAAAATGTATTCATATACTAATTATTTATTTATAGTGCATGGTATTAACTTTTATTTGAAATTGCTTGGTATGAACTATTTTTACTATATAATTACTTTGAATTACTTTCAATTACTTATTACTAGCAATACTTTTATTTTGAAATGTAAATCAAGGCATAATAATTAATACATACTATGGTTGGATTACCTTAGATGCAATTATGAGATTAAAATTAAGAATAATCTTATATAAGACGGTTGCTTCTAGCAGGTTGGTAAGAAAATATTCATTTACTTGTAACAATAGAGGGTTTAGAAATAAAATATTATTCATTGAATTTTGATTAATTTTTTTTAAAAAAATGTTTTATTTTCCAAAAACAAAATATTTTTAATAATTATGAATGAAATGAAAGTTTCAAAAATAATAAATTTTTACTTAACATATGTTAAACTCGTTTAATTTATTTTCTCTTTTGTTCATAAAACATTTTCTTATATCTTTTATTATTTTGTTTTGCGTTCTGTAAGTACTTATGTGAAATAAAAGCTCAAATTAATAAAAATTCAAAATCATAAATTTTTTATTTAAATTCTAAAAGGCTTTCTTTGTAAGCTTAAGAATTCAAATTTGTTTTTTTTTTATAATTTTAGAAAAATTTTACATTTACATATTGAATTAAGCTGTAATTATAATAAAAGTTCATTTTCATTTAGTATAATTGTCAGTTTTAGGGATAAATCTGAGTTTGTTCTCTTTGAATTTTGATTTTATCAATGATGAACTGGAATTTTCCAAAAGTACTTATCTCTTTTTTGTGTATAATTTTTTTGTTTTACTATTTTTCATTTTAAGTATTTTTGTTGTTTTTTTTTGTTCTTTTTGTATTTTCTTTTCTTTTGTGTGTGTATGCAAATTTTAAACTTTTTCTTTTTTAACTTTAGTTTTATTTTAATTTTATTATATAATTGCAATTTATTCTTATATATTTTAAGTTTAATCTTCTTAAATGACAAAAATATTACTCTATTGCATGCGTTTTTTTTCTAATTTTTTTAATATTATTATTATTATTTAATTTCTTTGTTTTTTATATTTTGCTGCACAACAAAAGTTTGCAATATAGAATAATAGTACAGTTATTTTCATTTAATAATAATTTCTTTTTTTATATCTAAATTTTTAATACTTAAAAATTATTTGTTTTTGAATCAGTTCTTTGTTTTATTTTTGTTTTCTTTTCATTTCATTATACATATATAATGTATATTTTATATATTACAAATATATATTATAATATATTAACTTATATATTGCATATATTAATATGAATATACGTTGATTTTATTTTATTTAATTTGATAAAAATAATAATGTTTATTTGGAATGTAATTTAAAATGAAATTTATTTTAATAACGAAGTTTTTTGAAATGTTCGCAACATTAAAAATTATAAAATTTAATGAAATGTTAAATTTGTTTTTCTTAATTTAAATTATTGCATTGGATACATGCATTATTGCCAATTCGTAGTGATATAATAATAATTATTTTTAATTTAAAAATTATTATACTTGAAATATAAATATACACGGTATGTCTTTGTGTAAATGATGAAACTACTAAAGGATAACTTATAAACCTAATATTTTTAAGTGAGAAAGTTTCTTATTGCAGTAATACATTTTTTTAAATTCGATTCAGCTTTAAACATAAGTTTCTCATTTGAAAGTGATAACGAATTTTTGTTTTTTTTTCTCCTTCTTTCTTTTTTTTTCATTTAATATTAATAAAAAATATTAAATCTGTATTTTTTGACAGGCCTCCGCCTGTCCGCGTAACGTAATAATAGTCACTATAACATAAAAGTATGTATATGAACTGTAAAAATTGGAAAACTATTCTTTAAAATTAAAGTAAATGATGATTAAAAATACAATAAACTATGTTTCCAAATTAATTATTAAAGAATGTTATCGATTTTATTGAATGTCTTTTTGAAAAAATATTACAAAGAAATTATAAGATTGGCAGAATAATACACAATTTCATTTTATAACTTCTCGATTATTGTGCATATTCAGTTTGACTCTACAAGACGCTATATGAATATGATTCTCACGATTCTCATCACATTCTTACATTTTTTATTATGTACTTATGAAACAAAATGCATTTTTAACAAAAGAAATATTCAATTTAAATTATGACATGCGTCTAATTCTAGGTAGTGTTTATATCACAAATGTAAAAAAAAAATTGCTTAAAATTAAAAAGTAAATATGTATGTAGTTTTACAGAAATAGTTTTTATGAAATGAAAAGATTACACAAACATTTTACAAAACAGAAAACAAAACAATAAACTTATTCTAAAAATTCTTATGCGCACATAAAGGTACCATTTAGACACGAAAATTATACAACTTTTTCTTTTTCAAAAAAATATAATTCTTTTTTTTTATATAAATAAACATTTAGTGAATTTGTTTTAACAATTAAACAATTTTTGTTTCAATAATTAAAATACTTATTATATGAGTACATTTTGCCACTTGTTACATATATAGTTTTTGACTTATATGTATTTATATAAATAACTCGATTTCAAAATTGCAGTAACGCCATATCGCCATATAAATTGACAATTATAACTTATATACTAAATAGTACACTATAACTGTGTTACTGAAATTTTGAAATCAGAATGAGTTGAATTTTTTACGCAAATACCATTATAAGTCACAATACTTAGGTAAACTTTTCGAATAAATTTAATAACTTTCCAATTTTAAAATTTTTATCTTATAAGCTTACTGATTACAGTTTTAATTAATTGAACTTCATAACAATATTGGCGTGATTTATTCAACTTGCAATTTCTTTTTTTTAATGCATCTTATTTGCAAATAATTTCAAAATACATAATATCTATTAAGAAATATTTCTTCTCCGTCACAACTAAAACACAATAGGGGTTTTCACAGCTTTGCTACAAAACCAATTTGTATACAATAAAAATTTCCGTCACTTACTTCCAAAAAAATAGAAAATATGTATACGTTATGTGTACATACTTGAATAAAATATTGAAATTTAAATAAAATATTTTAAATATAATACATCAAGTTGTATAGAATTATAGTTGATTTTAACCTACGTAAATTCGTTTCTGCATGATAGAAAACATAAATTAATTATTTTAAATATCGTCGGTTCGTGTACTGATGTACTATAACTGGTACACTTTTACTGCAGGTCGAATTTACTTTTTGTATAGAATTTTATATATGTTATGTATGTATGTATAAGCTCCATTTGGCAACATGTCATCTAGTTTTTCGGGGAAGTTCGGGAGTGAATGAAATATTGTTAAAACGTAATATTAATTAACTTAATTTTTTAGTGAATTTTTATTAATGACTTTTAAGCTGAATTCACAGCCTCGTTTTCCCTCCCAAAAGATTGATTTAACTTCAACTTTAATTCGAAAAATTTTTCAAAAATTTTGCATGTGTTAAGAAAAGTTGTTTAAGAATACATGAACAAAACATGAAATTTTTAGGAAACAACAAATATACTATATTGTTAATATATATATATATAATATATATATATATATATATATATATATATATATATATATATATATATATATGTATATATATATTTATATATTTTATAAATATAATATTATAATATATAATAAGTTAAATAATTATATATTTGTATTATACATATACTTGATAACTATAACATAAACTGCATATATGTATATACATATATGCAGTTTATGTTATTTTTAATGAAGTTTGTGGAAACATTTGTGACAGAAATATTTTTGAATAAAAAAAAAACGAATACTTCAGTGAATTCAGCTTTAAAGTTGTTTGATCTAATTTAATGAAAATAAAAATCTGATTGCAAAATTTTTATATGTATTTGTGAATGTATGTGTGTTTCTTAAATTGTGTAAGTAAATTTGCCTTTTCAGCAGTTTCAAGAAATGAACTGATTTTTTTACATACTCTTTTTAACTTTTATTTTCTATATATTGTATATATGTAAATATGTACGTGTTTAGTAATTAAATTAACTCGAAACAATTTAACAATATTCAAAAGTTTTTGTAGTTATAGACTTTTTGCTATTTTATTTTTGTCTTTTTAGTTCTACAACTTAATTTAATTTCTATTTCATGTTTTTCTTTTTTGGGATAACATTTATTTTTTTTTATTTTTTGTTTCACAATATAATTTTATATTTAATTTAATTGAACAATTTAATATAGCGTCGCTCCGTAATCATAATGTCGTATATAATAAAGGATTCTTTTGGATGCACGACAAAATAATGTTGAAGTGACAAAAGGGATTTTGGATTATTACTGGACATAAATATTTGTTTATTATTTTGTATTTTTGTTATGATTATTTGCTTCCCTTTGAACAACTCAGTTATAATACATATTTTATATAATAAATATGTAGGTCTTGAAGAAATTTTCATAAAAAAAATGAAACATACTGATTTATGAAGATTAATTATATTTAAAAAATTTCAAAAATCTTTGTTTTCAACGAATCAAAAATCGATGACAATCAATTCTTTTTCTTATGCTACCATTAAAGATAAATTTTAATCTAAAAGTTGTTTTGCCAATTTATTAATTATCATATACTTAAATGCGGAACTTTGGTACTAAATAGTTTCTCAATTTCAATATTAAAAAATTGAGATAACACTTTGCCTATATGTATATAGGATTTTACTTAGCCAGAAGTAATTGGCAGTGCAAACTTTTTTGATAAATGATCGAATGATAATTTCGTATAAATATAAAAAATTAATTAATGCGATAGTAAAAAAAATATAGTTGTCGCAAGAATTATTTATGTAAAAATTAAAAATATTTATGAAGATTTAAACCCATAATTAAGTGAATAATATTGACAAAATGGCTAACAACTAGAACAATTTAATTTTCTTGTCTTAAAAAAATTAATTGAATATTTTTTTTTCAATTTTGGTAAATGGATTTTTTATTTTTTTTTGTTTAATTGATTTTATATTGATCCAAAGGAAAGCAGGAAAAGCTAAATAAATATTGTTTGTTCACTTTATATAGCAATACATGAATATTCGGAAATTTGATTTTCAATTTAATCAAAATTATTTCATTTCATCCCGTTTACTTCAACTTATTTAGACTTTTATTTAAGAAATTGAATTATTTTCACTTTCACAACGAAATGAATACTTTTTTTTTCTTCTTTTCATGACTGCATAAACCAATAATGGTATACAACCGCAAACCATACATGAACCCATACAATAGAAACATATTTTATAGTTTCCAGATAAATCACGTAAAAACCCAGCCAACGGCGGAACAGATATTGCACCGATACTCTGAAACATACGAACTAAACCATAACTGGAACTAATACGATCTGTACCAAATAAATCGGCTAATAAAACTGGCATTAATAAATACCAACATCCAAGACATAAACCATATGTTGCTAAAAGTAAGCCCATGACATAAAATGAATTTACAGATGGTATTGTTAATACTGCTATTCCAGCTCCAATAATGCTAAAATTATGAAAATAATTTTTTTAATCGAAAAATTTAAAAACATTTTTAAAGAATAACAATTAATCATTACCAAATTATATAGGTTTTCTTTCGGTCAAATAATTGCAAATCGGATAACCAACCCAAACCTAATCGACCAATCAAGTCTAATGCTGCACTTACAGCTACCAAATAACCTCCTTCACTTTTGCTGTACCCTATTATAACCATTATAAAACGATAACAATATTTGAAAAATGATTTATGTTAATACTTGTTTTGTATAATAAATTACCTATAGAAATAACATGAGCTGGTAAATAATATAACATGTAAGGACATCCGACTGACATTAATGTAACTGATAAACACATTAAAATAAATGTGGTATCTTTCAAAAGACTTATATCCAAATATTCTTGTATACGATCGCAACATGTTTTCGCTTCTTGAATTTCCTCGTCGAAACTCCCTTCTTCATAAAAACTACTAGGTGTTGGAATTTCCATGCTTTTACTCAATCCCTTATTTGTATTTGAAATTGGTGGTACAGATGATATCATAGGTGTTTGAGATTTATCATTATTTTCATTCATTTTGGAAATTATTTCATCAGTACTGATGTTATATTTACGACGTCTGCTTCCACGATTTGAATCTGTTCCAGATCTTTTCCGATATACGCATGTTGAATCAGTGCTCAAGTCTTCAACTGAATGTAAAATAGTTGAACTGCAACCTGATTTAATAGGTCTCATGAATGTCGTTTCACCAACAATATCCTTTCCTTCATCATCACTAATATCACCCAGCTGTGATGTTTTTTCAGCATTATTTACTAAAAACAAAGTTTTTACAAATCAGATGACAAGTGTAATGCTTATATACTTACTAAATTTATTTGTATTGTAATAATCATTAATACGATTTTTAGTTTCCTCTAGGAACAAATGTTCAATAAATTTGGGATCAGGTAAATCGTCCGCCGAATTTAGATAAGTTGAACCTGTTAATAAACCACCGTACGCACTACCAGTTGTCAAATCTGTTAATGATTTCGTAATTTCTGTACTTCCTAAGATGTTGACTCTTGGTGTTTCTTCTTCTTCTTCCTCTTTAATTTCAAGGGGTCTATAAAGCGTTGCCGAAAGACAAACATGCAGCATACATCCTCCCAAAATCAATATTGTACCATGAAATCCGAAATTGTCTACTAAATGTTTGATCAAAACTGGCAATATAAAGCTACCAGCTGCTGTTCCAGAAACGGTGATTCCATTGGCCAGAGCTCGATGCTTATCAAAGTACTGAGATACAATAACAACACCTGGTGTTGTTGATAATCCACCTCCAATTCCTTAAAAGGTCAATGTTATTAGCCAATGTTATTAGTTAATTTGCCTAATATTCTAATATTATATATATAAAATTTTAGGCATTTAATTTTACCTGTTAAAATCCCAAAAGTAAAGAGTAAATGAAGTAAATCTGTTGCAAAATAACTTAAAGTCATTCCAAAAGCACAAAATAAACCACCTATGAATACAACAACTCGGCATGAATATTTTTGACATAATGCGCTCGACAATGGAGCTAAAGCTAAACAGAGTGCTGAGAGAATTGCTGGGATCCATGATGCAACACTTGCTGACGTTTTTGGAAATGTTTCCATTATTTCAACATACAAAACTCCATACGATTTAACAAGACCAGCTACCCAAAATTGTACTGAAAAGGCACCAAAAACAATAAACCAACCATATCCACCATCTGGTGGTTCATATGATGCCGATGATGAAGCAGAAGAAGGGGCATTATTGTTACGTTTACGCTTTTTCTGCTGCTCCTTCTTTTCTTTTTCAGCTAATAAGCGGCTCGTTCGAATTTCTCTAGATTTTGCAATTAATGGTCTTGCTGTAATACTGGATACAGTCAACAAATTTTCATTATCATCCTCTTCGATTTCAGAAATTTGATGTTGCAAGAATGTCGCATGTAATGTCTTTGATGTTGTCGTTGGTGGTGGAAGCGAGTTAATTTTAAGTGAGCCTGGTCTTTTTGGTGTAACATTTCCGGTTGGCTGTCTTTCAATTCCACTGTTAACAATTGTGTTTCCAATGATGTCATCTGATTCGGTGATGAAACTTTTTCGTCGTGGTCCGTAAATTCCAAGATCTGTATGGGTGGTAATTGTTGATGTTGCAGAATTTGTTTCTTTAAGTCCGGCAAATCCTGGCCGTTGGCATCCGAATCCATGAATGGGATTATCATTTTGGATGATTCCCAATTCTGCGAGAGGTACTGGTGGCGCTGAATGCACTGAGAATAATGATCCGGATTCCTGACAACCAATGAGATTTGTTGTTGTGGCCATTGGATTGGATCCGATGTTATCATTGTCATCGGCGATTGTTGATGTTGATCTGTCAGCACAAAAGATCCCTCCCGACTCGTACTCGATTCCACTAGTTGGGTTCGGTTGAGACGAGCTGTAAATTGATCCCCGTGAATCCTAAAAAAATATTTTATAAATAAATTAATAACATCTTAAAGTTTTGTAGCTACAAATAATTAAATTATCAATAACCTAAATTTTATATATATATATATATGTATGTACATATTTTGTTTTAATAATTGAATATTTTTATTGAAAAGGTAATTGTCCTTGAAAAGGTTGCGTTAAATTTATATTGAGAAGGCGAATTTTTCTTAATATATTGATTTTAACACAAAATACTTTAAAAGGATATAAACAATTTCGAGTCTTCTTATTTTTTTTTGCTTAATTTTAAAAATAAATCAAATTAGTATGTATTTCAGTGATGATTCATTATCCCGGTTCTTTTATTTGTCTTTCGATAGAGGTTTCTTGATGTTCTATTTTTATATTTATATTGATTAGCTGTGTTTTTCCACGGTAATAGTATGATGACTAATCCAATTCCAATAATAAAAATGGATGAATGTACGGTATTTATATGTACAAATATATATGTGTTCTTATACGTATATTTGAATTAAGGGCATGGGTGGTTCTAGTAATTAAACGAATATTTTCTTCATAAATATCGATTGAAAATTTATCCATTGAGCAATATTATTTACCTACATCATAATAGAAAAACTTTCAAATTTTAATATAAAATTTATTACACCAATCCCTTGCTTAACGTAAATTTTTGGACTACGTTAAGTAAAATTACATTATAAAAGGTCAAGCAGAACTAGCTTGATATTTGCCTAAAGTAGTAAATTGTAGGGAGAAGTTTAAATGTAAAAAAAATAGATTGTTGCATATTAAATGATTTTATTATTAAACAGAAACAAAACATAAAATATAAAAATCATGAAGTATATACATACATGCATCAAGAAAAATAAGCTGAGGCGCTCAATAAACGTAAGTTCCATCATCAATTAATCAAATTAAATGCAAATTAAAAAATTGCTATGTACGTATGCAAATATTTATGCCAAATAGAAATTGACTTATAAGAAAAATTTCAAATGATCGACAGTGTTGTTGTCGGTCAAAAAACATATATGTAGTTAATAACAGTTTATATGCGTTCGTTTTCTTAACAGTAGTGAAAATAAATTTTGCTTTAAGGTTTTTACAAAAAAGCAAGTCAAAATTTTTTATTTTTTTTGTTAAAAAAAATTTCGTAAAAGATAAAAATTGCATTAAATGAAAATAGGTGGGGAAAATAAAATTTACGTATATTATATTGAAGTAAGAGGTTACCTTATATAGGGTGATTGTATATTTGAATTGAAATAAATTATGATTGCAAACATCTTAAAAACTGGTCCCATTCCAATTTTTATTGTGTGTGTGTCACTATGTACAAATATATAGTAAAAGAAACCGTAATAACAACAAATATTGCATTGGCCTGGTGTAATCGGTTTCAAAATAGTACTTGCGAATTAGTTGTAATATTGTTCGTTTTTCAACTAGTCTAGAAAACAATAATGTAGAATGCAAAGATACATGGTAAGATAGAGAAAAAATAATTTTGCGATTAATATTCTAATAATCCTTTAATGATTAATGCGGAGCTAATTCTGAAAAATGTTCACAACTGATTAATAATGTAATAGTAAAGACCAGAATTTTGTTTAATGTTTCCATGAATACATGAATGTCAAATCCACTACATAAAAAAAAAATCTTATGTGATCAGTACACAACTGACTGCAACAGTCTAGTTAAGTGAAAGTGTTACAGAATATTATAAAAATGCCTGTTCTTTTCTTTACTTCTTTCCAAATTTTAGAGCATTAGTATAAGCTTATAGTTAACATACCTAAAAAAATGTAAATTTGGCTCTTAGTGGAGTTTCGCTTTGTGCAACTCGAATTCAATGAAATGCTCCCCAGCTAATTTCGGTAACCATCAGAACTCAAATATCAAATTTCGAGAAATTTCATCAATTCTCTCCGTAGATATAGTAAAAAATGTAAAATCGGCCCGCAGATCAGTTTCCGAGTCCTGATCTTTCCAAAAAATTTATATGTTCATTGTTTTAATACGAAGAATTTAAATATTAAATTTCAATGAAATCGGTTGATTATTTCTCTTTATATATGCAAAAATGTATATTTGGCCCGCAGTAAACGTCCAGTTGTTGACACCTGATTTCTTCCAAAAGTTAGAAGGTTTCGCGGACGGTCGAGCGAAGCTTATATATGAAGTTTAAGATAAATCTATCTGAATATTTTCTTCATAATGATCAAAAATCTAAAACATGCCCGCTGAAAAGAGCGGTTCCTGAGGTCTAATATATCCCAAAAGTTGATCAATCCGTGTAATAGTCGAAATAAAGATACATACAAAATTTCATTGAAATCGGTTCAGCCGAACTTGAGATACACGCGTGCACACACAGACCGACAGATCGACAGGTTGCTAAAAATATGCCCTACTATGGAGAAATGCAGTCCCACCGAAAACTCGATATGCATAATTTGTTGCCATCACATAACCTACCTATGTGTACACAATACGGTCGGTAATAAAAAGTTGTATGAAGATTTATATAAAACTCATAAAATCGTTTTCTCTTAAGAACTAACACAGTCAAATCTATATTAGCGTAGATACATACTAATGCCACATATATCTATCAAGCCACCAAGCTCAAAGACCAAACCAAAAATAAATTCGAAATTTATATAGAGTTTAAATGGAAAAGGTGTCGGAGTTTATTTATGTGAAGGAAATTGTTTAATATTTTTGGCTCTACTGATTCTACATATTTTTTTTTAAATTTAAAATTTAAATTTCAAAAAAATCGGCTGGTAAATTCCATTTGAAAAATTTATTTAAAAAAAATTTGCAGCGCAGACAACCTTTCTTGTCTTCTAAATGGAAGGATATTGATTTACAAAGTAAAATTTTTGAATAAGAAATAGAATTCAAAAAAAAAATTGAAAAAAAAGCAAAAAATAATTCTTCTTTTAAAATCATACTAAAGTGAGACTCACAAATATTTCAATCAGCATACTTCGAAAACATAAAACATTAACAATTGTTTTTCTAATTTTTTTCCGATTCAAAATTTCGGAAAATAATTTCAGGTTGGTGGCCTGATAGATATATGTATGTATATGACATTAGTACATACATATACAACATATGTTGAAGATTTGTTTTAGAACATGCACTTGAAATATTACACAATAAAAATGTACTTATTTTGTTAATAATATATTGTTTGTATATGTATAACATGCAATAATATACATTTTATAACTACTATAGGTATGTCATTACATTATGTGTAGTTAAATTCCTTAAAAATTCTCTTTCATCGCTTTCTTTTAGCCTATACTATAGTTTGCTATTCTCCTTTCTTCATTTTTTCTCGTTTTTGTTTGCTTTTCTCAATATTCTTCTATCAAGGTCAAGGTCTTATAGCATCATCATGTACACATACATGTATGTATATTGAGTTTCTTTATACAAAGCTTCAGTTGCAAATATCTATTACACATTAATATATGTACATTTTTATATATATATATATATTTATAAACATGAATACATATAATATAAAATGATAAAAAATCTTAGTAAATTGTTTTTTTCTTATGCTCCTTCCTTAAAATTGCATATTATTTTCATATATTTGTGTTCATGCTTATATGCACAACTGTATTTATCTTATATAGATCCACACAAACCAGTTTAAGACTATACTCGTATGTATGAATACACATATACACAATATATATAACACAACATAGAGTTGTTAATGAAAAACCTACGAGCGTTTTCAACTTAGAAAATAAAAATTATGTGGGTGGTTGTTTTATTTATTATAATATTGTTCCTTCATACATACATATATACACGTGTATTTTTTATATGCATGAATATACTTATTTTTATACGTAAGCTGAGACATTAACGTACAATATACGTACATTCATACATACATGTATGCACATTTTTATATGTAAATATTTTATAAATAAATATTTCTATATGTGTGCTTGAATGTAAATTATATTCATATAAAAATTATGTAAGGATATTCTACACAAACGATATAGACTACAATAGATATAGAATACAAACGTCACGGTATAAAATGGATGAATTTTCACATGCATATGTGCATACATTCGTTAAAAAAATTTTATTTAATATTTTAATGTTACTTTATTGAGTTCCATATATATAAAATTATATTGGTACACACATGCATATTTACATGTGTAAGCGCAAAACATAACTATATGCAAAACTAAATTAAACCTATGTAAATTTGTGTATAAAAATTTTATGTGAACAGCACATAACTGGCAAGAGAGTCAAGTAAGCGTAAAAATATATTTATAATAAATTTATCTTAAACTTCAGAATGGGTAACGAATTTTTCATGTTATTTGTAAGAACCCAAAGCAGAATCTCTGTAGATGACTTATTTTTGGACCTTGTCCACGGAATGCTATTACATAATTTTCTCAAGAATATAAAATTGTCAGTTAACAAAGATTCTCTTCTTATGGGCACCATTTATGGTGGAAAAATGTCCACAATACTTAATAATATTTCTTTTTTAGCGCAGATTTTCCCAAAGTTTTTTCAATTTTTGGTAGACCTCCGGCTACTTTTTTGATACATTTAAATTTCTAACAGTAGCAAGATACACCTATGATTTGAAAACTTACTTAATTAAATTCATATTTTTTTATTCAGTTTATTAAGTTTAATTAATTTAGTTATTAAATTTAAATATTTTAATTATTAAATTTAAATAAAAATAAAGGAATTCTTACATGAGAAAAACTACGAGTAAACAAAAAATAAATTCAATTATTAGAGCCCCATTTTCATTCAATGAAGCTCCAATTTTTTTTCACCTTAGAAGACCGCAAGCAGGTCTGAGCAATTATTAGTCTATATAGACCCTGGGGGTCTATATAGACTAATAATTTTTCTTTTATATTTCATATATTTCCGGTACTCCCTCTTCCTTTAGTTTGTAAAATTCGTTT